CGCCGCTCCGAAGAGATCCTCGCGTCGCCGCCGCCGCCGACGTCTCGCGTCGGCGTCCCTGAACGCGTCAAAGTTGCGCGCTCTGCTGCCCCACGCGTCCCCGGTCCCTCTGTCGCCGCCGTCGCGCGGGTCCCAATCCCCGACGCCGGCGCCCGTTGGTCCCATCCCCATCCCCTCGCCGCGCGCGACCGCGACCGCGAGCAGCGCGAGCCCGCCGACGAGGACGACGACGCCGACGACGCGTTGGAACAACGCGAAGAAGAGGAACCCCCACAGCAGATACGACAACGTTCGTAGCGTCGCCATCGGGACGCCTCGCGGGGTGGTCCGCGCGAGGACGCGCGCGGTGGCGTCGGAGACGGACGCGATGATAGTCAGGACGAAGGAGACGACGGCGCCGACCGCGGCGGGGAGGGCGTCGCCGGAGAAGAGCGAGGACGGCGGCGTCGGCGGCGCGAACGGGTCGTCCGCGAACGACGACCTACTCGACGACTCGCGCCACCATCCGTCGTCGTCCGCGCCGTCGCCGTCGCCGCGGTCGCGGTCGCGCGATGACGTCGCGTCCTCCGCGTCGCTCCCCCCGCGCGTCGGCCACTCCCCCCACTCGAGCTCGTCCGACCACGTGTCCGCCTCGTCGTAATACCGAGGCGCGCGCGGGCGGTCGTCGAACGACGACGACGACGACGACGCGCGGCGGACGACGAATCTCGTCGCGCCGCGCGGGCGAAGATCCGCGGGGAGACGGTGCCGCGGTCGCGCCGCGACGCCGCCCCGCGCGCGTCGCGGGGTCGCGCGACGCGACGACGACGCGCGAGGCGTCGTCGCGGAGGAGGGCGCGGCGGCGGCCCGGCGAGGGAGGAGGACGGCGCCGAGAGGCGGCATCTCTCTCGGTGCTCGCTCGCTTTCAAAACCAACCGAAGCGACGCCTCGGGCGCGCTCCCTCGGCGCGCCTCCCCTGCTGCGCGGGTTCGAGCCTCGCGCGCGGCGCGGGCGGCCGCGGCGGGCGCAGAGGACGCTCCCTGCCCCGCGGAGACGCGCGTCGCCGTCTTCCGCGCGGGCGAAGGTGGCCCACGGCGGCAACCCTAGCGGAACGACTACAAATCTCGCGTCAGTCGTCTTGCCAAAAGTGCAAGTGGACTCTTCTTCATCAGCCGTTTCGACGTCACGACAAGACGTCAGTCCAATCGGCGCCGCGGCCTCGCTCTCGGTCATGGTCGCGTCGTCGTCGCGGCCGCACGCCGCGTCCGCGTCCGTCTCCGCCGCGCCGCCGACGCACCTCTCCACGTTCCCGCCGCCGTCCTCCGCGGCCGTCGCGTCGCGCCTGGCGGGCGGTCAACGACTCTCTCGAGATCTACGAGACGCGATCGAGGCGCGATGGCGCCACGACGCCGCGGCGACGGACGAGTTCGCGCGCGTGTTCTCGGAGACCGCCGCGCGGCATGGGGCGTCCTCGGAGGCGCGTCATCGATCGAGCGCGCAACAACCGTCCTCTCCGACGCCGCCGCCGCCGACGCCGCGCGCGCGCGTCGACGCGCGCGCGTCGTCGTCGTCGTCGTCGTCGTCGTCGTCGCCGTCGTCACGACCGATGGCAACAACGCCGTCGCATCGGAAGCTCCGCGAGAGACTCGACGCGTGCGACGTCTCCGGCGTCGACGCGGCGTCGATCGACTGGTCCGCGCTCGCGAGCGTGATTTCGTCCGAGGCGGTCGCCGCGCTCGGCGCGAGGGGAAGAGGAGAAGCCGAAGGAGACGGCGACGACGACGCGGACGCGCGCGTCGCGTTTGAAGTCAACAGCGGCGGCGCCGTGTTTTTTTGTATTTTTTCGTCGCCGCCGCCGCCGTCGTCCGAACCCGCGCCCGAGCCAGCGACCGAGCGCGTCCTCGTCGTGAAGTTCTGCTCGGACAGGCTCGCCGCGCAGTCGGAGTACTTCGCGCACGAGATCGCGTCCGCGCTCGGCGTGGACGTCCCGGAGACGCGGCTGTTCCGACGGAAACCGGCGGCGGCGGCGGCGGCGGCGGCGGCGAACAAGGAGAGCGACGCGCGCGCGTCGTCGTTCGACGAGTGGAGCGCGATGACGCGCGCGGCGGAGCGCGCGGTCGCGGAGTGGCGCGACGACGCCGACGCCGCCGACGCCGACGCGCGAGACGCCGCGGGGAGGATGCTGGGATGCCTGCGCGCGCAGCACGCCGCGCTGGTGATGCGTTTCGTCCGCGGAGGAGGGTTGTTCTCGACGACGCGATCGCGATCGCCGAAAGGAAAAGTCCTTAAGGAACGGCGTGCACCACGCGAACGGGGTCGTATGGGAAGCAGTCTCAACGCGAACGCCGACGACGCGGGCGACGAGTCCTCAGATCGTCCTCTTCGTCCGTTCGACACCCCCGCGCGATCGGCCGCGGCCGCGGAAGCCCTCGGCAGGGTCTTCGTCCTGGACGTCCTGTTAGGGAACGCGGACCGGATGAAGTGCGAGCGGCTGGCGTGGAGAGGCGCGTTCTATACACTGGTTCCCCATACGACCGCGTCCGCGTGGTGAACGCCGATCATTAAGGACTTTGCCCGGCGCATCTCTCCGCCCACCCCTCGCTTTCAATCCCCGCCATCGATGCCTTTCAACTCCACCTGACGCCTATGAACTCCACCCCGACATTTAGGCAATCCCGGAAACGTCCTCGCGCCCTCTCTCGGCGGCGGCGGCGACGACGGCGATCCCATCGTCGTCGCGATCGACCAGGCGGTGCCGCGGCGCCCGCCCGCGATGCGCGCGCGCGCGGACGCGGAGAAGATACCGGAGTTTGTCGAGCTCCTTCGGAACCACGCGCCGACCGCGAGCGACGCGTTGATCGAAGCGCTCGGCGGTTTCGGCGGTTTCAACGGCTTCGGTCTCGCCGAGACGGAGGTTCGCGACCGATTGACCCCGGCGTTTCAAAGAGGCGTCCGAGCCGCGATCGACGCGACGGCGCGGTTGCAGGGGTTGTTCGAGTCCACGGAGGAAGCGTTGCGAGAGACGTTATCGATGCTGTTCGAAAACATGGACGACATGCGCGCCGCCGAGGAGGAGGAGGAGGACGAAGACGGCGGCGGCGAAGAGCGCGAAAACGGAACCGACGCCGCCGCCGGGCCCGCGAAAGAACGATCGCCCGTGCGCGCGCTCCTCGAAGCCCGACGCGTCGGCCTCGCGCCTCTCTCGAACGCGAACCGCCGCGACGCTTCGAATCCACCGAATGACCATCAGCCCGAAGGGGCCGGCGCTAAACTCCCCGCGCCGCTCGCGCGTCACGGCACGATGCGCCTCCGCGCCGTCCACCGCGACGCGCGGTCGGGCGACGCGGCCACGAGCGCGTGGCTCCTGGACTGGGAAGACGTCATGCGCGAGGAGAAGACGACGTGCGCGCGTCGGTGCCGCGAGTGGGCGAAGCGCCAGCGCCAGCGCCGCGGCGCGAAGGGTAATAACCTTAAGGGCCCGCCGCCGCCGACGACGACGCCTAACCTTAGTATGCGCACCGGTTTCCTCGACGTCGCCACCGGACGCGACGTCGTCGACTGCTACGAGCTCTGGGTCCGGCTGTCGCACCTCGCGCACCGCGGGTCGAGGATCGCGCGCGCGGCGGCGACGGCCGCGCCGTCGTCGGTGCACCCGAGGATCTACCTCGGCGGCGCGCTCGCGGCGAATTCGGAGCACACGCTGCGCGCGCTCGGGGTGCGTTCTGTCTTGAACTGCACCGACGACCTCGCCGACGCTTTGATCGACGCGGTTCCTCCTTTCAACTTTGGCCGAGTGCCGGTCGAGGACACGCCGGAGACGGGCATCGCGGCGACGTTTGAAGCCGCGAGCGCGTTCATCGCCGACGCGATCGAAGGCGAAGGCGAAGGCGAAGGCGAAGGCGAAGGCAAAGGCGGCGTCTTGGTGCACTGCTTCGAAGGGAAAAGTCGAAGCGCGACGATCGTGGCGCAGCACTTGGTTCGCGCGACGCGACGGCCGCTGCGCGAGGTTTTAGAGCGCGCGCGCGAGGCGCACCCCGGGGTGCGACCGAACGCCGGGTTCTTGACCCAGCTGAGCGCGTTCGAGCGGCGCGCGCTGGGGTCGGCGTCCGACCTCGGTCCTTTCAAAGCCGAGGCGGGCGCGCGCGCGAAGCCGAAGGCGCGTCGGTGTCCCGCGTGCGGCGCGGAGTGCGGCGTCTCGCTCGCCGCGGTCGCCGCGCACGCGCGCCGAGCGCACGGCGCGGGCGTCGAGGTCGGGCGAAGGCGCACGAGTTAGGTTATAGCGGTAGTCGCGCTCGAATGACTTGTTCGAATGACTTGTTCTTGTTACAACGAAGACTTATTACACGGTGACTGATCATCAATCATATCGAGTCTCGCTTCTCGCTCGGCTGTCGGCGGGACAAACTTCTGTACAAAACGGAAAATAGGATACAAACGCCGGCGGCGCGGTCGCTCGCTCGTCGCGAAAGAAAGGAGGGCGTCATCCCCAGTACGTGCTCTTGTAGATGTCCTCCGCGTTGACGGAGCCGTCTTCTTTCTTCGCCGCCGGCGCAGCCGCGGCGGACTGCGACTGCAGGAGGTGGTGGTTCACGCTCTTGCCGTCCCCCGCGACGGGCTTGTCAAACTTGGACGCGCCGACGGCTCGCATGTTCATGTTCCTTCCCGGGTTGAACACCGCGCGCCACGGGTCGTCCTGCGTGGTGCTAGTCGCGGTAGTTGCCGGTTTAGGGCGTAACGGCGCCGCCGCGGCTGTTTTGTAGACCTCGCCCGGCGCGGCGAGCCCCGCGGCGACGGCTTTCGTCTTCGTCCCCGCGTGCGTCGTCATCGCGCGCACCATGGACCGGTGCTCCGCGGCGCGGTCCGCCTCGTCCAACGACGTGCGTCTGTGCGCCTCCCACTTGTCGTGCCAGTGGTCCTGCGCCTCCTCCTCGCCGCCGACGAACGGGAGCTGAGAGAACGAGTCGCTGTTGTGCATCTTCGTGACCTCGTTCGGGGGGGCGTGCAGCGAGAAGAGCGAGCGGAGCAGCGACGACGACCCGTGTCGAGGCTCCGCGGGGGACCGCGCGGGAGGTCCGGGTGGCGATCGCGCGGCGGCGCCGTCCACGTTGGGGTCCATCCAGAACGGTTGCATGTGGTCGTCGCAGTCGAAGGTGAAGATGATGTTAGTTATCGTTATCGCGCGAGATACTTTTTCTTTCTCGAATATCTTTCTCGAATCTCGCTCGCGTCGCGCGCGGTCGAGACGCGGTCGCGGTGCGGGCGCGGCGGGTGCGGGAGGGCGCGGAGGAGCGCGCGTGCGGGCGCGCGAGAGGTGTCGCGGAGCAGAACGTTCGCGTGCGCGCGCGTTCGATTGTGCCGCGGCCGCGTCGAAGAACTCCCACTGACTTTCTGACTCGGACGGCTGACTCGGACGCGGCGCCACGTGGCGCTGGCGGGTCTGTCATCCTGATCGATCGCGCTTTTCTTTCTGTTTGGCAGGCTCTCGGTCGCGCCTCTTCGCGAAATCGCGGCGCGCGGACGCGCGACGCGAGGGCGCGTCGTCGTCGCCGCCGCCGCCCGCGCGTCGCGCCATGCACGCCGTGGCGTCGACGCCGTGCGCCGCCGCCGCCGCCGCGCGCGGACGCGGTCGTCGTCGTCGTCCCGAAGACGCGGCGCGAGGAGGAGGAGGAGGAGGAGGATGCGAGAACGCGTCGTCGTGGTCGTCGTCGTGTCGTCGGTGGGAAGTCGCGCCGTCGCCGCGGCGCCTCCTCGCGACGCCCCGCCGCGCGACGCCGCGGCTCCGCGCGCTCCGCGGGGACGAATGGAAGGCGATCGCGCCGCCAGGGTTTACGCCGTCCGCGTTAAATCTCTCCTACGACGAGCACGAGGCCGACGCGCTGTTCGAACGCGTGACGGAGGTGATGGACGAGGTGGACGTCGACGCGCAGTCCGCGCCGGGCGGAGGCGTGAAGCTCACGGCGTCGCAGAAGCGCGCGCTGGACGCGTTCTGGCTGTCGTGCGGCGTCGCGAGCGCGTCGCACCGCGCGTCGCTGGTGCGCGAGGGCGGGAAGCGCGGCCTGTTCCGCGACCCGCGACGGGTGGTGGAGCGCGTGACGGAGCTGGAGGATTCGCTGTGGCGCGCCGTCGGCATCTCGGAGATCGACGTCGGACTCTGCGTCGGGCGGTTCCCCAAGGTGCTGTTCTTCGAGCCGGACTTTCTGATCGAGCGCCTGAGGCTCCTGCGCGACCTCCTGCCGAACGTCAACCTGCGGAAGGTCATCGAGCGGAACCCGCAGGTGCTCGGGATGGACATGACGTGCACGCTGCCGGCGAAGATGCGCGAGCTCTCCGTGCTTCTGCCGCACGTGGACGTCATCCACCTCATCGAGACGCACCCGAAGATTCTCTCCACGAACGTCAGCGGGAACGTCGCGGGTAACCTGAGACAGCTGAAACGTCTCATGAGCGAGGTTGGCGTGGAAGACATAGGCGTCGAGATGATGGTCACGCGCGCGCCGAGGTTGCTCACGTCGGACGTCGACGGCACCGTGCGCGAACGCATGCGCGCGATCGAACGCGCGTCGCCGGGGACGTTTCGGCGGTACGCGGATAAGCCCGCGAGCGCGGCGAGGATGCTGTGTGCGAGCGAGAAGGTCATCGACAGGATCGCGTTCTTGCACGAGACGGTGGAGGAAGGGGAGAGAGGGAGCGAGATCGCCGCGGTGAACGCTCCCGCGGGGACGTTTTCGAAGAAGCATCCGGGATTCGAAGCGTGGCAGCGAGAGCGCTCGAAGGCGCGGGAGAGAGAAAGGAGCGCGGATACGGGCGCTCTCTAGCGTCTGCTCTGTCGGTGCCCTAGCTAGACCTCACATCCTAAACCTAAACATAAAATACACGCGCGGCGCGCTCGAAGGCATCGTCCGTCATCCGCCGCCGCGCGTCCAGACCCTAAACCCGGCGGCGAGCGCGAGCCCCGCGAACGTCCCGACCGCGTTGCCGAGATTCCCGACCAAAATCCCCGGCGCGACGAGCGCTCGCCACCCTTTCGATCGCGCGAGCGCCGCCGCGGTCGCGGGCCCGCCCACGCACGCGTTCGACCCGATCAGCGCCTCCGCTTTCGCGATGCCCAAACCCTTGTGCCCCGCGAACCACACGATCGCGAGGTGGCACGCGTACAGAACGCCGAGGTACAGAAACAACGCGGGGGTGGAAAAAATCTGCGAGACGCTCCCGCCGGCGGCGCCCGCGGAGGCGAAGAACACGTAGAGCGCCGCGTTCCCTACCAAATCTCCGGCGGGGGCGAGGTAGGCGGCGACGCGTCGCGGCGCGAGCGTGGCGAAGAGCACGGTGAACGCCGTCGCCGTCGGCAGCGCCCCCAACGACGGCGGCGCGACGCGCGAAGACGCGGTCGACACGACGCACGCGAGCGCGAGCGCGGCGAGCATCTGACCGACGTCCACGGCGGGCGGCGGAGGCGGCGCGACGATCGACGTTTCATCTTCCCTTTCAAAACCGTCCCTTTCCCCGTCCCCCGCGAGAGCGGCGACGACTGGGAAATAGACGAGCGCGAAGACGTTATCCGCGACGATCCCCGCGCTCATCGCGCTCGCGGACACCCCCAGCGCGCTCGCGACCGCGACGTAGTTTAACCCGCCGCCGATGCTCTTCGCCGCGAGCGCGGCGGCGACTTTGTATCCGTCGTCGGGTCCCAACGCGCCGGCGACGCCGGAGGAGGACAGCCAGCTGTGCGCGGCGGCGAAGCCGACGACGGCGCCGACGGCTGTCGCGGCGCTTCCGACCGCGAACGCGCGCGTCAGCCGCTTCGTGTCCTCGAAGACTACTCGGAGGTCCGCGCCGAGGAGCAGCAGCGGCGTCGCGAGCGCGACGACGAGCGATTGGACGGCGGCGTAGTGCGCGCCCGGCGGCGGGAGGACTGTCGTTTGAGGCGGTTTGAATCGTCGGTCAGTTGAAAGGGTCGCGCGATCAAACTGATGAACGTTGACCCCCGGCGGTGCGGTGGGTGCGTGCGCGCACCGTGAGCGTTCGAGAGGATCGCGCCGAGCACCATCGCGCACACCGGTCCCGACAGCGCTCGCCCGAGCGCCGTGCGCTCGCCCGCGGCGTTCCCGCCCGCCGCGCACAGCGTCAGGAGCGACCATATCTCCATCGTATCCGCGGGGGAGACGACGGAGGCGGCATTGGGGACGACGTCGTGCCGTCTTCGTTCCGCGTCGTCGACGCGTCGGAGACGACGTCCGCGCGGGACGGCCGCCGAGCGGGGACGGACCGCGCGCGCGCGAGCGAGGGCGCGCGAGGAAGCGTGAGGAAGCGCGGTCGCCGCCGGCGCGCCGGCGAGCGACCGCATGACGGCCGCGCGGCGCCGTCGACACTGCCGACACCAGATTCCTATAAATCGTCGGTCGGTTTGAGTTTCTCGAGACTCGACGCGATGCGATGATGCTTTTAGGGTTCGTCGCGCGACGTCCCCCTCTCACACCTCGCGCGCGATGTGGCGCGTCCTGCGACGCGCGCGCGAGTCCCTCGCGCCCGCGGCGAACGCGCACGCCGCGACGGCGCGCCGCCGCGCGGCGGCCGCGTCCGACGCGCGTCGATCCGTCGTCGACGCATCCTCCTCCTCCTCCTCCTCCTCCTCCTCCGCGTCGCGATCTCTCTCGACGTGGACGCTCTCGACGCTCCGCGCGACGCAACGCCGCGGCGGATCGTCCTCGCCCTCGCTCCTTCCGTGGGGGTGCGTCTCGAGCGGATACTCGCGCGGATACCGCGGCAACGGGAAGCGGAAGGACGGCGGCTACGGCACGCTCGTCCCGCGCGAGTCGCCGATCCCACCGCAGGGTGTCATCTCGCTGTCGAATCTCAAGGACAATCCGGGGTCGAAGACGTGGCGGCTGCGCGTCGGACGAGGGCGCGGCGGCGGCATGGGGAAGACGGCCAGACGCGGGTACAACGGGCAGAAATCGCGCAGCGGCGGCGCGCCGAGGATCGGGTTCGAGGGCGGGCAGACGCCTTTACGGCTGACGCTCCCGAAGCGCGGGTTCGTCAATCCGAAGAGGATGGTGTTCACGCCGCTCAACTTGTGGAAGCTGCAAAAGTGGATAGACGACGGAAGGCTCGACGTCTCGAAGACGCTGACGATGAAGGACTTCGTTGACGCGCGGCTGATCGATCCCAGGGTGAAGAACGGGCTGAAGCTGCTCGCGAAGGAGATGGACGGGCACGCGTTCACCGCGAAGATCAACGTGGAGGTGAGTCGAGTGAGCGCCGCGGCCAAGGAGGCCATCGAGAAAAACGGCGGGAGCGTCGTCACGGTGCATTACAACCGGTTAGGGTTGCGGGCGCTGTTTTACCCGCAGAAGTTTAAGTATGGGCTGCCGAAGCCGGCGAGGGCGCCACCGTGGCTCGTGGGGAAGGTGGATCGCGTGGGGACGCTCCCGGCGCCCGCGCCGAGGGAGGCGGCGAGCGCGGAGGCGTCGTAGGTAGTCGCGTATGTCGTATCGAACGCGAACCAAACGGAACGACTCTCTGTTGGGTCGTCGTTTACATCGCTCGCTCTCATGACGAAACGAAACGAAACGAAACGAAACGAAACGCTCTCCTCTTCTCCCTCTCAAGACAATAATATAGTTTTTTTTCACGAACGCGCCGTGGGGGCTGGCTGGCTCAGTACCGCCCGTGCCGTCTCGCGGTGGGGCTGTACGCGTTGGGGCTGATGGATGAGACGCAGACGCAGGTGAGACTGCTTCCCATACGACCCCGTTCGCGATGTGAACGCCGATCCTTAAGGACTTTCCCCGTGCCGTCTCGCGACCTCGTCCTCCATCCGCCGCATGCGACTGGCGAACCGCTCGCCCCCCCACGCGTTGTTCGCGATTCGAATCGCCGCGCTGCTCGCCCGCGCGACGATCGAGGAGACCTTCCCCCCGCCGCTCGCCGCTCCCTCGATCACGCGCTCGACGCCGATGATCGCCTGCTGCCGCCAGTTGGCGTCCGTGCCCGTGAAGAGCGCCCACTCGACGGCGGGCTCCAACAGCGGCGGCGACTCGGGTCGAACCGTCTCCGCGTACGCCTTCGAGTACGATCCGCTCCAGTACTTTCGGCGGAGCGCGCAGACGGCGTTCGAGGTGCCCTGGCCGACGAACCCGATCGCGCCGGAGACGGCGGCTATGCGAACGCCCTGCGCGAGGAGCGCGAGGCCGCGCCACTTCCACGCGTACGGGATGACTCTGTGCCCGGCTTTCGCGAAGATGGACGCCGGCATCTTCCCCGGAGGCTGCGCCATGAACACGAGCCGCATGAAGTGGTTCAACCGGCCGCCGATGCGCGACTTCACGATCAACGCCTTCCTCCCGCCCGGGGTCTTCCCGAGCGTCACCGCGGGAGAGAGCATCGTGAGCACGGCGCCGTTCAAGAACACCGACGACACGACGTCGGACAAGAAAAACTTTGGGTCGTTCCATCGTTCAAAGCGACGTCGGGGTGGAGTTCAAAGGCGTCAGTTGGAGTTGAAAGGCGTCGAGGTCGGGGATTGAAAGCGGGAGGTGGGCGGAGAGATGCGCCGGCGAAAGTCCTTAAGGAACGGCGTTCACCACGCCAACGCGGTCGTATGGGAACCAGTGTGAGATGGAACGCGCCTCCGCCTCGTCCAACGCGGACGCGTCGTTCCTGCTCGTCGCCTCGCCCGCGACCGCCAGCCCGACGTCGCCGAGCACCTCCACCGCGAGCTTGTACAAGAACCACGGGTCCGCGAGCGCGCGGTCGCGCACCGCGGGGTACTTGGCGAAGAGCCACGCGAGGAATCCCGCGAGCGGCCCGGACGTGGTGTATCTCAGAAAATCTTTCATCACCACGACGCGAACGCCCTCCGCGTCCGCGATGTCCGCCATGTCCTTCGGGAGCGTCGCGCCGTTCTTACTACACATCGCGGTCGCCTGGGGGGTTAGGGTTGGGGGTTATGGTTAGGGTTAGGATTAGGGTTAGGGTTTATTTAGAGGGGAGGGGGGGGGTGGGGGGCGCGAGGGGGGCAGAGGTCGCGGAGAGGGAAGAATTGTTTTTTAGGGCGGCGAGCGAGACAGCGCGCGCGGAGGATCGATCGACTCGAATCGCTGCGGCGATCCGCGCGGCGGCGATCGCGCGAGCGCGAGGGACGCACCTCGTCGACGCCGACGTACTCCTCGTCGTCCTCGCCGTCCCACTCCGGCCCGCCGTCGAAATCCCCCCACCCGCCGTTGATCGGCGGCTCGTCGTCGCCGCCACCCCCCGCGCCGTCGTCGCCGCCGTCGCCGTCGCTCGTCTCCGGGTGGGACGAGGACGCGGCATCCTCCGGCTCCTTCCCCGTCGCCGCGCCGTCCTCCGCGGCCGCGGCGGCCGCGGCGACCGCCCCTCCCGATCGCGACGGTCGCGCGCGTCCTAACGCGCGCGACGACGACGACGACGACGACGACGACGTCGCCGACGACGCGACGACGCCGCGCGAAGATCCCCCGCTCGCTAGCACCAGAGGCGACGAGCGCTGCTGCTCGCGCAACCCTCGCGCGGACGCGCCGCCTGATCTCGCCGCGCGATCGGCGCAGGTCGCCGCGCGCTCGAAGCGTTTCCTCGACGCGCTCGCGCACGCGGCGTCCGTTCCCGCGCCCGCGGCGACGCCGTGGATGCTGAGTAACGCGCGCATGGTCCGAGCGGCGGTGCGAAGCGCGCCGGACGATGGCGCGGTCGATGGCGCGCTTATCCGACCGAACGCTCTCTGCGTGTCCGTGTTGGGTTTTTTGAAACCGAAAACCTCGTCGTTGAAAGCGACTTCGCGGTTTGAATTTCCCTTTCCCGATGTGCTTTGAAAGGCGACGTCGAAAGCGAAAACGAAGGCACCCGTGAAGGCACTACCGCGCGTCGAGCGAGGCGAGGCTTCTCTCTCTCCTCTCGCGTCGTCACTCTCGCGTCGCACGCGCCGCGCGAGGACCGCACTCGACATGTCCGGCCCGGTGCGTCCTCCTCCGCGTGCCTCTTCCTCCTCCTCCTCGCCCTCGCCGCGGCGCGCGCGACGCGCGCGACGCGTCCGTCGTCCTCGCGCGTCGCCCCCCCACGCCACGAACTCGCCCCGGGGGAACCATTTCATTTCGTTCGTTTCGTCCTCGTCGCGCGCGCTCACGTCCTCCCCCCCCCACCCGCCGGCATCGAACGAAACGAAACGCGCAGGAGGAGGACGACGCCACGGAGAAGTTCTCCCTCGAGCTCGAGACGAAGCAGCTGGGCGAGCTGCAGGAGTCGCGCGACGAGCTCCTGAGCCGCGTGAGCAACCTGAAGCAAGATCTCCAGGACTGGCGCTTCAAGCTCGATAACCAGGTCAAGGCGTACCGCGGCGAGCTCGGAGATCTGCGCAAGACGCTCAACTCGGAGGTGGCGCAGCTGCGCGACGAGTTCCAGGACTTGCGCGCGACGCTTCGACAGCAGCTGGAGGCGACCGCGGCGATCGCGAACGATCCCGCGGAGGCGCACGCGGACGAGTAGGCGCGACGAAGGGCGGGGGGAATCGCTGCCGCGAAAGCCAACGGTTGCAGTGGGCGAACAATAAGGCGCGGAAGGGAAAACTAGCAGCATCATCAGCACTAACTAACGTAGCGCGCCGGCGTCGACGGACGACCGGCGTTGTATCACCATCATCGAGTAGCGCGTCGATCGCGCCTCCGGACACGCGTCCCGTCCTCCTCCGCGCGTCGTCCTCGCGCGCGTCGCGCGTCGCGGCTTCATTCGTACCAGCGCTCGCGCGCGGCGGCGGCGGAGGTCAAAACCGCGTTCCAAAACAGGCAAGTTCCACAAGAGGCGAACCCGCCCTCGCGTCGGAATTCGCTCATTCGAACGACGCGCGGCGGGCACGATGACCGCGGTGAACGAAGTCGAGGAGGCGGTCAAGCGCATCAACTCGCACAAGGGCGTCCTCGGCGTCCTCATCATCAACAACGAGGGGATCCCGATCAAGACGACGCTGGAGAACGCGGAGACGGTGCAGCACGCGGCGCTGATCACGCACTTCGCGCGAAAGGCGCGCGCGGTGGTGACCGCGCTGGATCCAACGAACGAGCTGACGTTTCTGCGCGTGCGGAGCAAGTCGCACGAGATCATGATCGCGCCGGATAAGGATTACACCCTCGTCGTGCTACAGAACCCGGCGTGAGTGACGCGCGCGACGACCGAGGAGGGGGGTGCGGGGGGGATGGGATGGACGGGTGGGGGAAGAGATGGAAATGGAAATGTAGCAGTTGGTTTGGGATGAAGGCGGCGGGGTCCGGAGGCGCAGAGCGAGAGGAGGAGGAGATAGACGGCTCGCGCGACGCGTCGCTTAATCGTAAGTAAGCGCTAGACACGACGACGCGAAGGCGCGCCAAAAACAGACTAAGATCTCATACAGAGGCCACCGTCCGGGATGTTCAGCGCCGGCCCAGCCCACGAGTATAAGATGGCTAGAAAAACTTCCCGAGGCCCATCATCTCCGACAGACTGTTCGCCGTCTCCGGCGCGGCGCGCGCGACGTACACCTCCGTCGGCTCGTTCGCCGCGCGCGACGCGATCATCCGTCGGTTCTCGTCCGGCGCGAGCTTCATGACCGCCGCGAGCACGGGCAACAACGACTGCTGCGCGTCCCAACTCGGCGCCTCGACGAATTTGAGAACGACGGATCTGAGGTACAGAAAGTCCTCGGGGGACAGCGTCGTCGCGGTCGCCGCGGCGCGCGCCGATCGGCCGCCGGGCGCCGCGTCGTCACCAGTGGCGTCGCTCTCCTCGCCTCCTCCGCGGAGCTTCCGTCGCAGCGCGTCGATCTCGACGTCTTTCTCCTCGAGCAGCGCGCGCGCCCTCTCGCGCGTTCTCTCGCCGTCGTCTCTCTCCGCCTTGAGCGCACTCGTCGCGTCCGCCAGAGACGCCTTCGCCTTCGCGGCGGCCTCTTTCGAGCGCGCCAGGTCAGCCTCGAGCGCGGCGCACACCGCGCTCGCGCGCTCGCCGTCGCTCGCGAGCTTCGCGAGCCGCTCGACGTCGGCGGCAGACGACGACCCGGACCCGCGCGACGTCGACAGCAACGCCGCCGTCTCGGCTTTTTTTCTCTCCTTCTCCGCCGCAGCCGCCGACGACGCCGACGACGCCGACGCCGACGCCGACGCGGAAGCGGTCGCCTCGGACCCTCTCGCGGCGCGCTCGAGCTCATCCTCCAGCCACGCGGTCTTGTTCCGCTCGAGGTCGAGCGCGGCCGCGAGCTCGTCGCCGCGCGCCGTCGCCGCGTCGAGGGACGCGGCGAGACGCGCGCGGTCCTTCGCGAGGTCCTTCGCGCCGCCGCCGCCGCCGCCGCCGCCGCCGCCGCCCTCGTCCCCCCCTGCGCCTTCCTCCGCCTCCACCTCGAGCGCCATCTCGTGCTTGTACGCCTCCGTCGCGGCCTCCGCCTCTTCCGCGCGCATCTCCGCGTCCGCGAGCGCGTCGTTCGCGATGTCCAGCCGTCGCTTCAGCTCCTCGGCTTTCGATCGCGTCTCCTCGCGCGCGTATTCCACCGCCGCGACTTGAGCGAAAGTCGGGGTGGAGTTCAAAGGGTCAGTCGGAGTTGAAAGGCATCGAAGGCGGGGATCGAAACCAGCGAGGGGTGGGCAGAGAGAAACACACGCCGGGTGGAAAAGTCCTTAAGGATCGGCGTTCACCACGCCGACGCGGTCGTACGGGGACCAGTGTGAAGGAGAACGCACCTTTCGCGTCGGCGCGGCGTTCCCTCGCCTTGGCGTCTTCTTCGATCGCGGCCGCCTCGGCGCGCGCGCGTTCGGCGGCGCGCGTCGCGTCCCCGAGCGCGGTCTCAAGCTTCGCGACGCGGAGATTCCCCGCGTCGGTCGCCTCCGTCACCGCGGCTTTCGTCTTCGCCGCGGCGTCCGCGCGGATGAGGTTTCCGTATTCTTCCAACCTGGAGTCCTCGAGCGCCTTGCGTCGTTTGAAGTCGCTCTCGAGGTGCGCGATGCGCTTCTTGAGCTTCGCGACGACCTCGTCCTTCTTGTCACCGGACGCGGCGGCGGACGGGGACGGGGACGGGGAGGAGGAAGACGGCGCGTCGCCGAGGACGTTGACGACCAGCGTCACCGCGCGACCGCCGTCTCCCGCCGCCGTCGCCGCGGCGTCTTCCTCCTCCTCCTCCTCCTCCTCCCGGGATGCCGCCCTCCCCCTCCTCGCCGCGGAACGCGCCAGCTCCTCTTCCAACCGCGTCGCCCTTCCCACCGCCTCCTTCAACCGCGCGTTCGCGGCGACGAGCATCACGCGCGCGACGCCGTCGTCCGCCGTCCTCAGCGCGGCGCTCGCGGCGTCTCTCTCCGATCCCACGAGCTCGTCCACCGCGCCCGCGTCTCCCCCCATCGCGCGCGTCGCCACCGCGCGCAGCGCGTAGATCTCCGCGTGCATCTCCGCCATCTCCTCCGCGTGCTTCGCGTCGAGCGCGACGAGATCGTGCTTGTCCAGGAGCTTGAGCTTGATCGCGCTGGACATCGGGATGCGCACGAAGGGCGCGTCGCCGGACGGCATCGCGCTCGCGGGCTTGAATCCGGAGGAGCCTCGATGGTCCGCGGCGGATCCTCCGGATCCTCCTCCTCCTCCGCGCCGGGGCTCGAGGTTCGCCGCGCGGTCCGCGTCCGCCTTCAGCGCGGCCGCGGCGTCCGCGGCGCCCGCCGCGAGCGCGGCGCCGGCGCCGTCGCGGATCTCGCGCGCGCCGTCCGCGACGGACGACGCCAGCGGCGCGAGCTTCTCGCCCGCGGTGGACGCGAAGCTGGCGGTCGCCTCCGCGAGCCGACCCGTCGTCGCCCTCCAGTCCGTCGCGCGGAGGTTGTCCAGCCACGACGACGGCGCGGCGGAGGGCGGCGACGGCGCGGAGGGCGCCGCGGGCGGCGAGGCCGTCGCGCCGCCGGGGTGCACCGGCGGCGGCGGGTCCCCGGACATCGTCGCGCGGCGAGGAGTGAAGAATGATTCTTCAGATCTGCTCATCGCGTCAGCATCAACTCTATCCTTTCCACGGCGCGCTCCGCACGCGACGACCCGACCGCGGCGTCCCGCGCGATGCCGTCCACCGCGACGATGGCGTCCACGCCGCGCGCGCTCCGCCGCGCCGCCGCGACCGCGACCGCGTCGTCGTCGTCGTCGTCGTCGTCGACGCGTCTCCGTCACCACCGCCTCGTCCGCTCGTCGTCGTCGTCGACGCGCCGCCGTCGCCGCCGCCTCGTCGCCGTCGCGTCCTCCTCCTCCGCCTCCGACGCGTCGTTCGAGGATGCGCTCCGCGCGGCGGCGAACCGCGCGATCGACGCGCACGTGGAGAGCGGCGACCGCGTCGGGATCGGCCACGGCGCGATGACGTCGATGGCGCTCGATCGCATCCACGAGAGGTTGAACGACGAGGTGCGTTCTATCTGACACTGGTCCCCATACGACCGCGTCGGCGTGGTGAACGCCGATCCTTAAGGACTTTCTCTCCCGGCGTTTCTCTCCGCCCAGGGTCCCTCGCTTTCGATCCCGACGCGCCACGATGCCTTTCAACTCCGCTTCTGACGCCTTTGAACTCCACCCCGACGTTCGCTCTGTATGGACAATTACCCGCGACAGTCGCTGACGGATGTCGCGGTCGTCCCGACGGGCACGCTCGCGGCGAAAGAGGCCGCGGTCGCGGGCGTGCCGATCCAATCGAGCGATTTCGCGAAGGTGGTGGACGTGACCATCTTGGAGCCGGACGAGGTGTCGTGCGGGGAGGGTTGGGACGACGACGACGCCGTGGTGGACGGCGTCGTCGCCATCGTCGGGAGAGCGCAGGCGCGTCCTAGTATTACACTGGTCCACACACGACCGCGTTCGCGTCGTGCACGCCGATCCTTGAGGACTTCGCCCGTCGCATCTCTCCGCCCTCTCCGCCCACCATCCCTCGGTTTCAATCCGCGCCCTCGACGCCTTTCAACTCCGACGACCGACGCCTTTCAACGACCCGCAGAAGCCGGTGCAGCCGAACCTGCCGCTGACGCGAGAGGTGCTCGATAAATCGCGAAAGGTGATCCTGCTGACCGACGCGCTTCAGGACGCGATCGGACCGATCGGAGGGAGCGTCCCGGTCGCGATCGTCGCGGGGGCCGACGCGTGGGAGGAGTGCGCGGAGGAGCTCGACGATCTGCTCCTCGGCGACGCGGAGGTGAGACTGGTCCCCGTACGCTCCCGTTCGCGTTATGAACGCCGTTCCTTAAGGACTTTCTCTCCCGTCGTCGCTCTTCGCCCGCGCGTGGCGTGCGTTTCCACGCTCGACCGGTGAGACGTTTCAACCGATTCAATCCTGACCGATGAAACCACCCCATGAACGCCCAGGTTTGGCGTCGCGGCGCCGAGGAGGGCGCGAACCCGCGCGGCGGCAAAGTCCCGTACGTCTCCCCCGACGGCTCCCACACGATCGTGGACTTGATCTTCGAGAACCCGCTCACGAAACGGCGATGGGACGACGGTTTCGTTTTGTTCGGTAAGCCCGCGAGCGCGTATCAGGTGGCGGAAGAGGTGAGCGGCGTCGACGGCGTGTTGTGCCACGGCGTCGTGACGAGCGCCGACGCCGTCGTCGTCGCCGCGGGCGTCGGGAACGCGGGCGACGGCGCCGCGCGGGGGCCGAGGGAGATTACCGTGAAGAAGCGGTGAGGGGCGGGCGAAGATGACGTGTTTATGTAGGGTGGGACGCCGCGCGACGCGTGATGTCGTATCGTGCGCGCGTTCGATGACGCGTCTCGCGTATTCGCCGCCCTTTTTATTCTCGAATTGAATTCGGAAGGACGCGCGATGAGTCCGGCGCGGAAAACTACACGTGTACTTCAAGACGGAATCGTCGCCTCGCCCCGCGCCGCCCTTCGACTCGACTCGCCCCGTCCGTCGTCGTCGTTCCATCGCGCTCGTCGCCCCTCTCCGCGGGTCAGCTCTTCAGCGCCTCGTCCGCGAAGACGTCGAACATCTGCGTCTCGCAGAACGCGCGCATGAACGCGCGGTCGGTTCTGCTAAACGAGTCCACGAACGAATCCTTCAGTAGGATGGACACGCGTTCCTCGTCGGCGTTGACCTCGGTGATGGCGTACGCGCGCAAGTTGGCGACGACGGCGGCGAGGTACTCTCTCCACGCCGACAGAAACGCTCGCGCGGCGATCCGCGCCTCTCCGCTCGGCTCCGCGATCGGATGCCGCCGCGAGCCACGCATCGCGACCTGAACGGCGTAGTGCAACGGCCGCAAGACGGCGCTTAACTCCTTCAACCGCGGCAACGCCGGCGTGTGCCCGCGCAGTTTCACCGTGTCCTTGTACGCGTTGACGCGAGATAAGTCCTTCGTGCATCGCCGCACCTCCGACGTCTTGTGCTGCACGCCCACGACGAACGGCACGGGCGCCTCCAAGAACGAGATCATGTCTTGCGGCAACACCGGCAGCATCAGCGACTGCCACCGCGAAAGTCGGGGTGGAGTTCAAAGGCGTCAGAAGCAGAGTTGAAAGGCGTCGAGGGCGGGGATTGAAAGCGAGGGGTGGGCGGAGAGATGCGCCGGGCAAAGTCCTTAAGGATCGACGTTCACCACGCCGACGCGGTCGTATGGGAACCAGTGTGACTCGAACGCGCCTGCCACCGCAGCGGTCGCAGCAACGCCGCGACGCTCAGCACGCACGCGCTGAGCTCGCCCAGGTTCGGGCACAGCACGACCATCTGTTTCTCCAGCAGCGCGCCGTTGAGGACGAGGAGAATATTCTCCAGGGAGAGGCAGCGGCACAGCGCCGCGACGGTCCACGTCTCGAGGTGGGACGCCTCCTCGGCGGGCGTGATGACGACGCGCGGCGGCTGTCGCGGCGGACGCGTCGGAGTAGGCTGGGTTTTCCCGGCGTTATTCCCTCTGCGTTTCGCGCGGCGGAGCACCGAGGGCGATTTCCACGACGGCTCGGAGAGATCCGCGGGCGGCGTCGACGGCCGTACGTCCTCTTCGTCGTCGTCGTCGTCTTCCTCTTCGTCTTCCTCTTCGCGGCGCGTCTCTTCGTCTTCCTTCGTAGTACTCGTATCCTCGGAACGTGAACCGTCGCCCCCGCCCCCCTCGAGTCCGAGTCCGCTGACCCCCGCCGCCGCCGCCGCCGCTGCCGCCCTCTCCCTCTCCGCCGCGGCTCTCGTCGTCGACGTGCTCTCGTCCGGGACGCGCCGCGTGAACGTGATCGACGGCGCGTCTTCCGACAACGGCGCGAACGTCACGCTCGCGCCGATCTCGGGCAACGGCATCTTCTTGTACGCGCACAGAATCTTCAGAGAGTCGCACGCGTTCGCGATGATCGCATCCGGCGCGGCGGCGAGCTTGGCCGTCGCGTCGGCGTCGCGGACCACCGGCGGCGGCGGCGGCGGCGGCGGCGGCGGCGGGGTGGTGGCGAACGTCACGCCTTTCAATTCGCCCGCCGGCTGCGACTTCATCTCCACCGGGGAGCCAAACCCGGCGGCTCCGGCGGTGGTCGCGTCCGGCGTCCTCGGCTCGTCGTCGCCGTCGCCGTCCGCGTCCGCGTCCGCGTCCGCGTCGCCGCCCTCCGCGAATGTGAGCTTCCTGCCCACGATCGGCGACGGCCGCTTCGGATTCGGATTCGGATTCGCCGTCGCCGCTGCCGTCGCCTGCGTGGGTGAAGCGATCGGTCAGTTGAACGTCTTACCGGTCAAACGTTGAAAGGGAAGCGCGGGTGAAGAGTGACGACGGGAAAAGTCCTCAAGGATCGGCGTGCACCACGCGAACGGGGTCGTATGGGAAGCAGTCTCACCTCTGCCGCCGCCGCCGCCGGTCGGTCCCGGTCCGCCTCCTCCTCTCCCTCCGAGCACCCGTGGTCGTCGTCGTCCAAGCTCATCATCTCCTCGACGCACGCGCGTATCCTCTCCAACCGTTCCATCCCTAACATCGCGTGCAGCACTTCAAAGTGCAGCGAGAAGAACGGCACGCGCGAGATCAAGCAATAACACCGATCCGCCGCGATGAGATACCGCCGCGACTTCGAACCCTTCTTTCCGTCCCCCGACCCCCGGGATCCGCCGGTCGACGCGCCGTCCTCCCCATGCGCGCCCGCGCCGTCCTCCCCATGCGCGCCCGCGCCGCACCCCACCGCCCACTTCGCCGCGGCGATCATCCCCGGCTCCCTCTGCACGAGCTCCTCGACGTAGCAGCACACCCCGTACAGCGTCTCGGGGTCGTTCCATACGAGCGAATGTCGGGGTGGAGTTGAAAGGCGTCAGGTGGAGTTGAAAGGCGCCGAGGAAGGGTATTGAAAGCGAGGTGTGGGCGCAGAGAGACGACAGCGAAAGTCCTTAAGGATCGGCGTTCACCACGCGAACGCGGTCGTATGGGAACCAGTGTGAGAGAGAACGCACCTCTTCCCCGGTCTCTCCGACCCGCAGAGTAAACACGAAGCTCTTGTCGTCCGCGGTGAGATGCCTCTGTCCGTAGACGACGTCGTTCACGCCGCTCATCGACGGCGTGCGCTCCACGAGCTTCGGCTCGACGCCGTGCGGGAAACAGAACGCGTCGATGGACTCGAACGGCAGCGGGGTTTCGCTCGGCGGATACGAGAAGAGGATCTCCGCGGGAAACGTGTCGCCGGAGACGCCGCGGTAGTGCCGCTCCGACTTGGGGTCGCTCACGGGCACCTCCGCGCCCGCGAGCCGCGCCGCCTTGGCCGCCTTGGCGCTCGTCGCGACCGCGCTGACGTCCGCGGTCGTGGGCAGCCCCGCGACGATGAAGTATTCGAACGCGGAGTCGATCGGCGGCCCTCGGCCCGGGAGCTGCGAAAGCGTCGTCGGGGTGGAGTTGAAAGGCGTCAGAAGCAGAGTTGAAAGGCGTCGAGGGCAGGGATCGAAAGCGAGGGGTGCGCGGAGAGATGCGCCGGGCGAAGTCCTTAAGGATCAGCGTTCACCACGCCGACGCGGTCGTATGGGGACCAGTGTGAGATAGAACGCACCTGCCCGTCGCTCGCCAGCCTTCGCTGCTGCGCGACCCAGATCCGCTTCTCTCGCGTGTACGCCTCGGGGTTGAACCAGTGCGTCGCGGTCGCCAGCGCCTCGTTCGCGACCGTCTCCGGCGTGTTGTGCACCGCGCCGAACATCGCGCGGTACAGGCGCTTCGACAGCGTCGGCGGCGGCTTTCCCTCCGTCCGCGCCGCGGTGGCGCGCGCGCCGCCGCCTCCGCGGTGGTAGTACGCCGAGTCGAACGGACTGTCGTCGTCGTCGCGCGCGCCGCCCGTCGCGCTGCTCTCGCTTCCGCCGGTCGTCCACCCGTCGCCGTCCTTGCGCGCGGTGACGAGGTGCGGCGCCGTGTGCGGCGCGACCGGGGTCTGCCTGTTCGACCCGAACGGGCGCGCCTTCGGCGTCTTCGCCTGCATGGCCTCGATCGATCGATCGGTCGTTCCTCGTCTGTTTCTCTTGGAAGGTCCGATCGTTTGAACGACGACGACGACGACGACGACGACGACGCGCGCGCGCGCTCTGCTCTCAAACGCCTCCGCCTCGCGCCGTCACTCCTCCGAGATCTGTCGCGAGCGCGCGCCTCTCCCCGCGACCGCGCGCGCGCGTCGCGTGCGCCCGCGTCGCGGCCCGCTCGCGCCGCGTCTTCTGCCCGCCCGCGGCCCAGCGCCTCGGCGTTCCGAACCAGACAGACGCCGCATCGTTGAGGACTTCAGAAAAGTTCGAGGACGACCTTCGCTGACATCATTATTCAGAACTCGACCGTCGAACACTTCGCGCGCGCGGCGGAGGCTGCCGAGGAGGGAGCGCGCGCGCGATGGAGACGGAGACGCGCGCGTCCTTGGAGCTCCTCTACGCGCGCCGCGTCCTCGCGCGCGTCGGCGCGGCGGCGCTGCTCGGCTACGGCGTCATCGTCGCGCTGTGCGGGAAACTCGTCTACGAGGTCCGCGGCGACGGACTCGCGTGGGAGCGCGACGGCGACGGCGACGGCGACGACGCGAGCGGCGGCGGTCCCGTCGGCGAGTTGAACCGCGCGTTCAGGAAGCCGCTGTTCGTGACGCTGATGAGCTTCCTCGCGATGGCCGCGTGTCTCCCCGCGCACGCGTTCCACGTCCGCGAGCGCGCGCGACCGCGGCGGCGGCGACGGCGGAGAGGCGGAAGAAGCGAGGACGGCACCGACGACGACGACGACGACGCGTCGCTCCTCTCGACGCCGCGCGGGAGCCCGAACGCGGCGATCTCGACGCGTCGCCGCCGCCTCTTCGACGGCGCCGCCTCTTCGACGTCGCCGCCGCCGTCCGCGTCCGCGTCCGCGCGCGACGTCGCGACGACGTGCGCGCGGCTGACCCCCGTCGCCGCGCTCGATCTCGTGGGCGTGTCGCTCGCGTGGCACGGGCTCCTTCGCGTGCCAGCGTCGTCGTTCCTCGCGTTGCGACACTCGCAGCTGTTGTTCGCCGCGACGCTCGCGGCGACGTGCGCGCTGCGGCGGCTGAACCCGACGCACAAGCTGGCGATCGCGCTCGCGTTCGCGTCCGTCGCGCTCGTCGCGGCGTCCACGGTGTTGGTGCGTGCGTCGTCGAAGCGTCCGCGTCGAAGTCGACGCGCCGCGCCGTGCCGTTTTTTTGGGTTCGCTTTTTGGTTTTTTTTTTTTCTGTTGGCGGGCGCCAAACGCCGACACGTCGTACGTAACCCTCCTCCTCCTCCTCCTTCTCTCCGTCCGTCCTTCCGCGTCCATCCCCAGGCGGACCCGGAGAGCGTCCACGAGCTCGCCGTCGGCATCGCGCTCGTCCTCGCGTCGCAGCTCGTGAACGCGCTGACGCTCACGACGGAGTCCGTCCTCCTGGCGCCCGCGTCTGCTGAGGCGGGCGCGTCGCTCCCTCCGATGGCGCTCGTGGGCCTCCAAGGCGTCATCGGCCTGTGCCTCCACTGCGTCGTCGTCCTCCCGGCCGCGCAGTTTCTCCTCCCGGGCGACGACGTCGGCGGGTGCCTCGAAAACACGCTCGATTCGCTCGTGATGTTGAGGACGACGCCGCATCTGCTCGCGTTCGTCGCCGCGTTGACCGCGTCCATGGCGCGTGACTGGTTCCCATACGCTCCCGTTCGCGCGTCGCGCGTCGTTTCTTAAGGACGTATCTCTTCGCCCGCCCCGCGCGCGCGCGCCTTTCGACGCTCGACCGGCGAGACGCCGGTTTCAATTCAACGCTGACCGATGAACGCCGCCCGATGAATCATCACTCACGTGTACCCCCAGATCGCGTACAACTACGTCGGACTGAGCGTCTCAAAAGTCGTCGGCGTGTCCACGCGGACGAGCGTTGAGACGTCGCGAATTATCCTCGTCTGGGCGCTCGCGATCGCGCTGCGGTACAGCTCGCAGACGTCGTTCGCGGGCGAGGCGTGGGGGACGTACTCGTGGGGGATTCTGGGCGGGATAGCGCTCGGCGTGGGCGGGACGTTGACGTACGTGTCCCACACACTGGTCCCCATACGACCGCGTCGGCGTGGTGAACGCCGATCCTTAAGGACTTTTGCCGTCGTCTCTCTCCACCCAGGGTCCCTCGCGTTCAATCCCCGCCCTCGACGCCTTCAACTCCAACTGACGCCTTTCAACTCCCCCCCGACGTCGCGTTGTATGGAACGACCCTCAGGTACGGCCGCGGCGACGCGGCGGAGAGAGAACGCGTGTTCGAACGCGAGGCGATGACGAGGCTGGTGTTGGGCCCGCCGACGCCGCCGCCGCCGCCGACGGAGACGGAGACGGAGACGCTGCTCGGCGGCGGGTCGGGCGGCGGGTCGGAGAGCGTCACGCTCACGCCGCCGGACAGCATCACCGGAAGGCTGCGCGCGGCGGCGGCGGCGGCGGCGGAGGAGGATCCGCCGGACCCGACGTTTCCGGCGGGGTCGCTGAAGGCGTCGTCGTCGCTGGTGAGTTACTCGGGGGTGTTGGGAGTGACGCATCACGCGGTGGGGGCGGGGCGGCGCGGGAGGTCGCGGCGCGGCGGCGGCGCCGGCGGCGGCGGCGGGAGTGTTTCCTCGAGGAACGACGCGCGACGCGCGAACGGGAGCGTATGGGAACCAGTCTCGCCGGCGGACGTCGAGCGCGGAGGAGACGGCGCGGAGGAGAGGCTTTTGGACGCCGCGGACGATCGCGATAGCTCGTAGGTGCTCGGGGTTCAAGTTGTGACGAACGAGGACGACGAAACGTTCATAATTCAGCCGTTACACAGTCTATAAGGCGCATAGACAGGACCGGACGAGAGTCGACGGCGCTCGTCGTCAATCCTCGCTCTTCTTCGTGAGGTTGTCGACGCTCACCGCGCCGCCGCCGGCGCAGAAAAAGTAGAAACACACCGCCGCGTACAGCGCCGCGGTCTCGTACGCGTACTGATGCTTCTCCACGACCGCGAGCGGGAACCCCTCGAGGCCGCTCTGCGCGATGTGGAAATACACTGCGAGGCCCATCGTGGTCGTGAGCGTCAACGCGGAGAGACGCGTGAGGAACCCGAGGGTGAGCCCCGCGGCGCCCGCGAGCTCGGCTGCGATCGATCGCGTCGCGTCGATTTGATTTTGATTGGACGGAGGGAGGAACGGTGGCGTCAGTCAGCGCATTGGATTGGTCAGCGATTGATGACGTGGAAGATCGTGTGGCCGTGAAGCGCTTACCTCCCGCGGCGAGGTACGCCCAGTTCGTCCACGTCAGAGGGTCGTCGTGCGGGAGGAATCCTAGGTACGGCTCCACGACGAACTTCCCGAACCCCTCCGGGTCCGCGAGCTTGTCCAGGCCGTTGTGGACCATGAAGACACCGGTGGTGACTCTCAGCGCGAGGACGCCGATCTCCCTCGGGACGGACGCTGCGACGAGCGAGCGGGAAGAGGGCGCGATGAGAACAGAAGCGAGAATGGATTTGGATTTGGATTTGGATTTGGATTTGGATTATTAATCCGGGGTCGAGCTCGAAGTTGACATCGATCGATCGAGCGCGCGACGGATGGTCGGACGGGTGCGCGCGTCTCGTCGTCGTTCGCGAGGCGCGGTGTGATGCTCCACGAGCGAGAAGCGAAAGATAAGCGCTGCCGGCCGTCGTCGCGCACCTCGGCACGCGAGCGATCTCGCGCGGCCGCTCGCGCGGCGGACGACGCGCGTCGGGAGCGGCGCGACCCCGCGGATCGCGATCGAGGCGGACGACGATATTTCGCGCGGCGACGACGACGACCGCGCGATCGATCGGTCGACCGCGGGGACGGCGGCGCGGGAGGCGACGGCGAAGGCGACGGCGAAGGCCATGTCGGAGTCGAGGGCGTGTGAGCCTTTCGCGCGCGCGCGCGAGGGGTCGTTCCCGGGGTTGGGGCGCGACGGGGAATGCGACGACGCGCGGAGCGTATCGCGCGGTATCTTTTCCACGTATCCGTCCACCTGTCGCCGGTTCGCGCGCTTTATCAAATTTCGCGTTTCAAAGAGTGTTTGTTCTGTTTGGACGCCCGGCTGGCGGCCGAGGAGGTCGTCGGACCTCATCGGCGACGTCGTCGCTTCCGCGCGCGCGCGATGGCCGCGCGTCCGAACGCATCGCTCTCGTCGTACACGCACACACTCGTAACGCTCACATATACACCGTTTCTTTCGTCACCGCGTCGCGAAAGGATGCATCCGTCGTCGATCGCTCACTCATCACTTTTGCGGCTGAAACCCGCCGGTGGAGCCGAACCCTCCGGCGCCGCGGTCCGTCGCGTCCAGATCCTCCACCTCGACCACGCCCGGCGTCACGATCCGCTCTAAGATCATCTGCGCGACGCGATCGCCCTTCTTGACCTCGAAGTCCTTGTCGCTGTGGTTGAACAGGATGACCCCGACGTTGCCGCGATAGTCGTAGTCCACGACGCCCGCGCCCGTGTCGATGAAGTGCTTCCACGCCAGCCCGCTTCTCGGCGCGATCCGCGCGTAGGTGTCCTTCGGGATCGCGATCGAGAGGTCCGTCTTCACGAGCTCCTTGCCTCGCGCGGGGATAACTGTTGGTTGTTTAGGGTCAGGGGGTTAGGGTTAGGGTTAGGTATGGGAGGGAGCGCGCGGGGGAATCGATCGACGATCGATCGGGCGCCGCGCGAGTGGGCACTTTTGAAAAAAAAGCGACGCAGCCAAAAAAACCAAAAGATGACGGGACGACGAACGAGATGCCGCGTCGTCCTCCGCCGCGCGCGCATCGTATCGTATCGCATCGTATCGCACCGTAGTCGTACGCGCTCGCGAGGTCGTACCCCGCGGCGCCGTCGCTCCCGCGCGCGGGCAGCGTCGCGTGTTCGCTGATCTTCTTCACTCGGAGCTGATCTTCCAGTCGCGGCATCTTCGCCGGAGGCGACGGGTCGACGTTCTCGGAGGCGCGCGCGGTCGGGGCGAGCACGGCGGCGGACATGTATTTGTGACGGCGAGCGAGGGGGGGCGCGCGGATGAGGGTGCGGGTGATGAGTCGTGCGGGGCGAGCGCAGACGTGCATGCAAGTGTGCGGAGTTTGAAATCGCGACGTCCGAGACGACAGAATTTTTTCAGAATTTTTTTGTGAAGCCGCCGCCGCTCGCGTCTCGTCATCAGATTACGGCGGCGCGCGGGGACGGCAGCACGACCCCGCGGCGTCATGTCGGGTTTATCCTCCCGGGTCATGGGACTCAAGGTGCGCAACCCATCGCGCCTTCCCCGCGGTCGCCGTCGCCCCGGACGTCGCGACCCTCCCCGTCCCCGTCCACGCCGCTCACCCGCCCGCCGCCCCGTCGTCGTCCGTCCCCCGTCCGTCGCCGACAGTTCATGCAGCGCGCGCAGGAGAAGGAGAAGCTCGCGGCCGCGACCGCGGCGGCGGAGACGCACCTCGCGGCGACGGCGGCGGTGGCGACGACGAAGGCCGCGCCGAAGGTGAACCCGGAGGAGATCTGGTTCACGCCGGGGATGGAGCGAAAGGACGACGGCGACGCGTCCGCGGCGGCGCCGCCGCCGCCGCCGCCGCCGTGTCGGATGTCATTCGGCGGGTTTAACCCCGCCACGGAGAAGCTGATGCGCGAGCGGGAGGAGGACGCGCGGAGGCGCGCGGCCGCGGCGTCGGCCGCGCGCGCGAAGGACGCGGACGTCAGCGACGCGGACATGGCGAGCAGACTCGGCGGCGGCGGCGGCGCGCGCGCGAACGCGAATGCGAAAAAGAAGGCGCCCGCGGCGGCGGCGGCGAGCGAACCTGAGGTGCGTTCTATCTCACACTGGTCCCCATACGACCGCGTTGGCGATGTGGACGCCGATCCTTAAGGACTTTGCCCGTCGCATCTCTCCGACCACCCCCCGCTTTCAATACCCGCCCTCGGCGCCTTTCAACGCCAACTGACGCCTTTCAACTCCACCCTGACATTCGCTTGTATAGAACGGCCCCGAGCCGATGGAAGAGAGCGACGGCGACGGCGACGGCGACGATCTCATGGGCGGCGACGAGCTCAACGCGGACGGGTTCAAGCGCCCGCCGCCGATGCGCGCGGCGACGAAGAAGTCGCTGAAGAAGCGCGCGGCGGGCGGAGGGGAGGGGGGGGACGCGGGCGCGGGCGCGGGCGCGGGCGCGGGAGCCGGGCCGAAAAAGAAAAAAAAGCGACGGCAGAAGTAGACGTCGAGGCTTTTGAGCGGTTCTAGTAGATAGAAGAATACACCGACCGCGCGCGCCGAGACAACACACCACAGCGCCAACGCGCCAGTCAATAACGCGTCACCCGACGCGTCACTCCAGCCCGACGACGGCCTCGCCCTCGTCGTCGTCGTCGTCCCCGAAGTCTCCGTTCTACTTCTTCTCTCGGTGATCCTCCGTCCCGAAGTATCTGTCCCCAAACTCGCCGACGCCCGGGACGACCCTGTTGTCGTCGTTCAACCCGGCGTCCACCTCGGACGTGATGATCTTCATCTGCGGGTACCGCATCGCGAGCGCGTGTATCCCTTGCGACGCCGCGATCACGGTGACGAACATGATGCGGTCCTCTCGCACGCCGCAGCTCTTGAGGCGGTCGATCGCTGACATCGACGACACCCCCGTGGCGAGAATCGGATCCAGCAGCAGCACGTACCGATCCGCGATGTCGCTCGGCATCTTCTCGTAGATGACCCGCGGCGTCTTCAGGGGGGGTGAATCGCTCATCGCGTCGGTTGACGTTCCGTCTTCCAGCGACGCGACCATCGTCACCGCGGAGGACGAGTGCCGGCTCGGCCGCTGGCTCGGCGGCGGCGAAAACACCGCGAGATCCGCGGTCCCCTCCCTGTCTCTTCGCTCGATGAGAATCTTCCCGATCTTGATCCCCTTGCAGCACGCCCGCAGCGCGTTCTCCATCGCCTCCCCGGACCGTATGATGGACACGCCGCATATTTTTTTACTAAACGTCACGCCGTTGTAGACGTCGCCGTTGGGAGTCTTGACGATTTCGTTTTTAAACGGCAAGTGTCCCAACGCGTGCTCGACGACCAAGCGAATGAGGCGGTCCGCGTAGAACACAAAGTCCGCGCGGTGGCACCGCGCGTTCCGAATGATCGTGTGCATGCCTCGAATTTGAAAGTTCGGAGGCAACACGATGAGGTTGGGGTAGATTCTTCGCAGGTCGTTTTGTCCGAGCTTCGTTCGAATGTGTTGGACGATGAGGTCGATCGCGACTGAGTTCTCCCCCTGCGCCCACGGGATGATCACGTCCGCGTACTTCTTCGAAGGGCTCACGAACGTGTCAAACATCGGCTTCACGAACGTCGTGTACTGCGAGATGACGCCGTCGACGCTGCGTCCGCGGTCCACGGTGTCGCGTTTCAGCCGCCGCGCCAGCCGCAAGTCGTCGTCGGTGTCGACGAAAATTTTCATGTGGCACAGGTCGCGCACCTCCTCCATCGCGAGCACGAGGATCCCCTCGATGATGATGACGTCCGCGGGCTCTACTCGGATAGTCTCCTCCCCGCGCGAGTGCGTCACGAAGTCGTACACGGGCACCTCCACCGGGTTTCGGAGCAATAAATCTTTCAAAATCTTCACGAGCGCGCCTGCGGGTCGAGGGTCGATACGTGGGGTGGAGTTCAAAGGCGTCAGAAGCGGAGTTGAAAGGCGTCGAGGGTGGGGATTGAAACCAGCGAGGCGTGGGCGGAGAGAAACGCGCGCCGGGAGAGAAAGTCCTTAAGGAACGGCGTTCACCGCGCCGACGCTGTCGTACGGGGACAAGTGTGAGAGTGAACGCGCCCGTGTCGATCGCGTCCGGGTGGTCGAAGTTGTACGACGTCACGTTCGCGTGCTCCTCCGGCGTGAGCCCGCGGTAGAACGAGTCCTGCGCGATGAGCACGACGCGCTTCTCCTGGAGGTTATGCATGATGAGGTCGCACACCGTGGTCTTCCCCGAGGCGGTGCCTCCCGCGACGCCGATGAGGAACGGTTCTTTGCCGCCACCGCATCGCTCGACGCGCTCGTCGATCGCGCTCGCGAGCCCGCCGTAGACCGCGTTCGGGTCCCCCGGGACGCCGCCGCCGTCCGCGCGGCGACCTTTCCCGACGCTGCAGTTCCGCTCGAGGAGCTGCGAGAAGTACGCGTCGCGGTCGCCGTCGCGCGCCGCGATCGGGGATCCGGTCGGGGACGCGCGGGACACGACGTCGCGACCCAAGGAGGACGCGCGCGGTGGCGACATCGCGACCTGGTGGTTCGGCGAGAGGTGCCCGTCGAACATGTTCGGCGTCGGCGGGCCGGGCATGGTCTCGACGACGACGACGACGCGACGTGGCGCGGGGCCGCGCGTTGTGACGAGGACGGGAGGAGGATCGATCGTTCGACATCATCTTGTTCGTTGGCTGTGCGCAGCGCGCGGCCAGGCTGACCCCAACAAAAAAGTTCATCGGTCAGTTGAAAGTAGACGCGATCAAATGTTGAAACCGGGAGATGGGTGAAAACTTTTGTAAAGAACGCGCCTGACTTGAAAGCGCGGGAACTTTCCAGCGCGGCGCGCGCACACGCGGACGCGCGCCACACGCGCGACAGCGACCTCGACGGACGCCCGCGACGCGCCCGCGCGCTCCCCGCGTCGTCCCTCGAGAGCTCTCGAACGCCGCGCGGCCGCGCGCGCGAAGACGACGCGTCCTCGAGCGCGGATCTGACCACCCCCGTCTCGATCGGAGGCGCGCGCGTCCATCGTTATATCATCATGCTGACCTCCTCGGCGTCGTCCATCGCGGCGGTCGCGCCGCGCGCGATGGCCCCGCCGCGCCGCCGCGCCGCGCGCGCGCCGCGCGACGTCGCGATGGTCGCACGCGCGGCGGCGGACGCGGAGGACGCGCCCGTCGCCGCCGCGCCGCCGATCGGCAGAGACGTCACGTTCGGTCGCCGCGCGGAGATGTTACGCGCGAAGAAAGAATCGTCGCGCGATCTCGACGCGAACGACGCCGCGGGGTTCTGGGGGAAGATCAAGGCGGCGTTCGCGATCTTCTTCCCCCCGAGCGAGGAGGAGACCGCGCGGATAGAGGCGAAGAAGCGCCTGCGGATGATACTCGTCGCGGACAGGTGCGCGATGAGCGGCGCGGCGATGCAAGCCATGAAGGAAAAGATCGTGGACGTCGTGCGCGAGTTCGCGGAGGTTGACGACGAGCTCGGCGTGGAGGTCTCCATGTCTCAGGTACGTGTACACGTGGCATCCCTTTCAACCACTTATCAATACACGTCATCACACACAAACCAATCATAACACTGACCCGTGTCCGAACCGACCAATCGATAACCAGGACCCGGAGGTGCAAGGGACGATGTACTCGCTGTCGATACCGGTGAAGCGCGTGAACCCGGAGTTCGACGTGGAGAACGAGACGTACGGCTGGGACGAGGAGCCGGTGGAGTACGACGACACGGTGTGGAGTAAGGCGGGCGAGGAGGAGGAGGAGGAGGAGGAGGCGGAGGCGGCCGCGGGGGGAAAGAACTGAGGAGGATGGAGTTCGATGCGTTCGACGTGTTCGTATTTCGATGTAAACGTTTTTTCTCACTCGCCGCGTCGGCGCTTCTTCATGTGTTGTTTCGGTCCTGTGGGGTTGCACTCCGGACACCCGCTGGGTCTGTTGCTCGTCGTGCGGTGGTACAGCTTCGCGCGCCACTCGTACGAGCACCTCCCACACTTCCACTTCGCCTTGTACGTCGCTCCTTTCGTCACCGCCGTCGGCGGCTTGTCCTTATCGACGCACTCGCGCGACAGCTTCTTGCCGAGCTCGCCGTTCTTCTCGCACCACGCGAGGAAGTTGTTCGTCTTGCTCGCCAGCGCATTACGCGCGCACTTCAGACACGCGGTGGGTTTGACGCTCTTCGTGCGACCGCCCACCTGCGCCCGCCACACGTGCTTGCACTCGACGTTGCTGCACTTCCACTTCGCCTTGTACTTCGACGCTTTCGTCACCGCCGTCGGCGGCTCGTCCTTATCGACGTACTCGCGCGACAGCTTCTTTCCGAGCTCGCCGTTCTTCTCGCACCACGCGAGGAAGTTGTTCGTCTTGCTCGGCGGCGCATTATGCGCGCACATCGGGCACCCGGTGGGTTTGTCGCTCCTCGTGCGGTTGCCCACCTCCGCCCGCCACACGTGCTTGCACTTCAAACACTTCCACTTCGCCTTGTAGTCCGACCCGTACGTCAGCTCCGTCGGCAGCTCCTCGCGGAACTCGTTGGCGAGCCTCTCGCCGCGCTCCCCGTTCTCCGCGCACCACTCGAGGAACGGCTTGCCGGGTCCCTTCTGTCCCTTCTTCGCCATGATCGCCGCGAGAGACGCGCCGTAGTCGTCGCGCGCCGGCGAGTGCGAGGCACGGGCGAAAGCTACACCGACAGCGAGGCTGCGAAAAAAGCTGGGATATGGGACGAGCCGAAAACGTACGTTTCGCACATGCAAACAGTCACAGAGTACAAACCTGCAAAAGTACACGCCCGCCGCCCGTGAAATTCGCCCGCGGCTGAAAAGGCCTCGCGACAATCAATTCTCGCCCTCCTCACACCGCGCCGGAACGTCTCCGAGTGCATTACACAGCGGCTACTCGTAGCTTAAGAAGGCTGTTCTAAACCCGTTCACCATGTCCGCGGTCGAAGTCACCAAGAAGAAGAAAGGCAAGGGCAACGACGGCATCAACAACCGTCTGCAGATCGTCATGCGCTCAGGCAAATACTCCCTGGGTGAGTGCGCCCGCGCTCGCACGCATCCCAACCATCCGCCCCTCCCCGTTCGCGCGCGACGGACGCCCCACCCCTCGCAGCGCGCGTTCCCCGACCTCGACGCCTCGCCGCTCCGACTGACGCCCTCTCCTCCTCCAGGGTACAAGACCACGCTCAAGACGCTCCGCAGCGGCAAGTCCAAGCTCGTCATCATCTCGAACAACTGCCCGCCGCTGCGCAAGTCGGAGATCGAGTACTACGCGATGCTCGCCAAGACGGGCGTGCACCACTACGCTGGAAGTGAGTATCCGCGTCGCGGCGCCGCTTTTCTCTTCCGTCGCGCGCGTCGCGGCGCGCGCGTCGTGGCGCCGCTTTTCTTCTCGCGGCGTGCGCGTCGCGGCGCCGCTTCTCCGGCGCGCGCGCGTCGTCCATTTCCGCATTTTTCTCGCCAAACCCTAATAAATCAATCAGTGAACGTTTCGCTGACCTCCGCCCCCCCCCCTGCTCCTCTCTTCTCATCAGACAACGTCGACCTGGGCACGTCCTGCGGTCGCTACTACCGCGTCTCGTGCATGTCCATCACGGACCCGGGCGACTCCGACATCATCAAGGCGATGCCGGAGGCGTAAGCGAGCTTCTCTTCTTTCGACCGCCGGCGGGGCGAGCGACTTCTCTCGAATTTCAGACGGCTCTTCGGGGTAGAAATAATCGAAGAGGCGTTCGCCTCGTCGCGCGACGTGGAACATGGAACGGGCGCGTGGACTCGCGCGCGGTGGGCACGACGCGACTCGAACGAACGAACGAATTTCAGATGGCTCTACGGGGTAGAAAACGTTCGTTTTCGTTTAGGTTGTAATCGCACCGCACAAGAATCACGCGTTTATTACCTCGTCTCTTAAAAACTTCTTCTCGCTATCGCCCCTCCCCTCCCTCCCTCTTCCCATCCCCTGCGCGCCGCGCCGTCACCTCGCGACCGCGCCCTGTCGTCCGTAGTCCTCCACGAACTCCATCAGCAGCGGGTTCACGAGCTCCGGGGCCTCGTCCATGGGGCAGTGCCCCACGCCCGGCAGCTCTGCGAGGGTTATTCCACGCGAAAAAAGTTCGTTCATCGGTCAGTTGAAAGGGGAAGCGATCAAATGTTGAAAGCGAGCGGTGGGTGAAAAACGGGGGAGAACAGCGCGCACCTATGAATCGATCCACCGCGTCGAACTTCCCGTACGCCCTCCCTTCCGTCACCACCTCCCACGGGTCCGCCTGCCCCCACAGGATGCGCACCGGGACCGTGGTCGGGATCTTCGGCAAGAGCTCCTCGGGGAGGGGGCCGCCGCTGTAGGAGATAAAGTCGAGGAACACCTCCGCGGCGCCGGGCTGCGACGAAGAAAGTATTTGGTCGGTGAGTTGAAAGGACTTTCCGGTCGAGCTTGAAAGGGGAGGGAGGGTCGCGAAAAACGTTTGAAACCGACGCGCGCGCACCTGCAACCCGGGCTTCAAGATGCAGTCCACGAGCTCGTCCGTGACCCTGTCCGGGTTGCCGTACGCCTCCTTCAGGATGTTCCGCACCGTCTGCGGGGGAAGTGAGGGGAAGTACGTACGATTGGTCAGACATGATGACATGGCAGACACGTGGCAGAACGTGTGGACGACGGACGACGACGCGCCTGCTCTCGCGCGACGTTGCCGAAGAATTTCCTCCCGATATCCGTCTCCCGCAGCGTGCTCTGCAACGCGGCGATGAACGGCCGCGCGAGCGCCGGCTGCTTCGTCACGTGCAGCCCGCGCAGAGAGATGTTTATCAATACCACCCCGCGCACGAGCTCTGGGGCGTCCACCGCGAGCTGCAGCCCCGCGACGCCGCCGACGGAGTTGCAGAAGACGAACGCGGGGCCGCCGACGACCTAAACGGGTCGAGATTGAAAGTCCGCGCGACGAGCGAACGGAACGTCGGGGTGGAGTCGTGAGGCGTCAATCGTTGGAGTCGAAAGGCGTCGAGGTGGCTCGGGCGGGGATTGAACCAGCGGGGGTGGGCGGAGAGATGCGACGGGAGAGAAAGTCCTTAAGGAATCGCGTTCACCACGCCGACGCGGTCGTATGGGGACCAGTGCGAGGAGAACAGAACGCGCCTCCGTCGCGAACGCCGCCAGCTGTCGCGACCAGTTCTCGAAGTTGTACACCGAGTTCCGCGGCTTCGACAGCGGGTCCGGCTTGTCGCTGTACCCGTACCCGAGGAGGTCGATCGCGTAGACGCGGCACTTGCGCCCGATCACCGGGGTGTTCTGACGCCAGTGGTCCGCGTTGCCGCCGAATCCGTGGACGAGGATGACCGCCGGCGCGTCCTTAGGGTCGTTCCATACAAGCGAGCGTCGGGGTGGAGTTGAAAGGCGTCAGTTGGAGTTGAAAGGCGCCGAGGGCGGGGATTGAAAGCGAGGGGTGGGGAGAGAGAAACGCCGGGCAAAGTCCTTCAGGATCGGCGTCCACCACGCCAACGCGGTCGTATGGGGACCAGTGTATAGAACGCACCTTAGCATCGTCGCCATCGGGCCCCGCCGCGGTGTATCGGATCTTGTGTCCCTCCCATCGCCACTCGTGCGAGGTCACGGGCGCGTTGGGCGGCGGGCGCGGCGCGGAGGACGGCGGCGGCGTCGCGGTGGACGTCGCGTTGGTCGTCGCGACCGCGCGCGTCGTCGCGACCGCGCGCTCGGCGCGACGACGACATCTTGCGCCACTCGTTTTCGCTCTCGTCGCTCTCGACGCCGCGGGCGCGGCGGCGGCGGCGGCGCGGCGCGAGGCGGCGGCGCGGAGGGACGCGGCGGCGGCGACGGCCGTCGTGGGCGCGAGCGACGTCGCGGCGGACATGGCGAGGGGGAAGTCGTCGCGTGCGGGGGGTCGCGCGCGTCGGAATGTGTCGAGAGATGACTCGGCAGTGACGTGTTCGAACCGGCGCCGAGCTCGCGCGAGCGGAGCCACGAGTCGTCGCGTCGCGTCGTTCCTCATCAGCGTCGCTCGCGCTCGCCGACCGCAGACCACTTCCGCGCGCCGCGGGCATCCCTTAGCGTAGGATAGCCGCCCGCGTCGCGCGACGAACGACATGGGGAAGGATAAGAAGAAGGCGCAGGGCGCGTCCGCGGCGGCCGCGGCCGCCGCAGTCGGCCACGCCGGCGGCGGATTCGCATCGTGCGCTCCCGCCGCGCCAGATCCCTAGTAGCGCACCTCGTGCCGACTAATCTAATCCCTCGCTCCCACCGCCCGTCCGCCGCCTCACCCGACGCTCTCCTCCTCCCCCTCCTCCTCCTCCTCCTCCTCCTCTCTCGCGTCGCAGGATCGGCTTCGGCGGATACTCCGGCTCGCAGAACCTCTCGACCGCGCACGACGGCGGCGACACCGCGTCGTCGTCGTCGTCGCCGTCCTCGAGCGCCGCGATGTCCGAGCCCGACGACGCGCTCCAACGCGCGCTCCGATCGATGCTCAAGCGCGACGCCGCGACGAAGCTGAAGGCGCTGAAGGAGCTCGCGGACATCGCGCTCGGGCGCGACGGCGGCGGGGATCGAACCGACGGCGGCGGCGCCAGAGCGCGCGGCGCGGAGGAGCTCGCCGCGATCCTCCCGCGGTGGACGCGCGCGTTCCGCCGACTTCGACTCGACGACGCGCACGCCGTGCGCGTCGCCGCGGCGCGAGCGACGCGAATCCTCGCCGAGGGCGCGGGGAAGGGGCTGGCGAAGCATCTCAAGCCGCTGATGCCCGCGTGGTGGGCGGCCGCGCACGACCCGTCCGCGGAGGTGCGCGCGGAGGCGATGGGCGCGTTCGACGCGGTCTTCAAGACGCCGGAGAAGCGAGCGAACGCGTTGCGATTCGCCGCGGATGAAATCGTCGCGGCGACGCGAGACGAGCTGGTGACGTTTAGGCGCCCGAGCGACATGCCGTACCGCGACGGCACGGAGGAGGAGCTCAGAGAGCGACACGAGCGGATGGTCTGCGCGTCCGTCGCCGCGGTCGGCGGGTTCGCGAGGACGGCGATGGGGGGTAGCGGGGAAGGGGAGGATTTGGACGGGGCGGACGCGTCGACGGATGAAAAGGTGCGTTCTATACACTGGTCCCCATACGACCGCGTCGGCGTTGTGAACGCCGATCCTTAAGGACTTTGCCCGGCGTGTCTCTCCGCCAATCCCTCGCTTTCAATCCCCGCCTTCGACGCCTTTCAACTCCACCTGACGCCTTTGAACTCCACCCCGACATTCGCTTGTATAGAACGGCCCTGAAAAGTTCGCCGCGCTTCTCGACGAGCTCGACTGTCTCGCCGCGTTCGCGCGGTCGCCGTCGCCCGCGATCCGGAAGTCCGCGTACCAGGCCCTGCTCGAGATCATTCTCGCGCGCGCGCACGCTCGCGGCGGCGGCGACGTCGAGAAACGCGCGAAAACGGTCGCGCGGTTGGCGTTAGTCCAGCCGCTGCTCGAACGCGACGGCGGGTGCTTCGCGACGGCGTGGGAGCTCGCGCTCGGCGTCCTCGAGCGCGACGATTCGAGCTCTGAATCGTCGCTATGGCGACACGTCAGCGCGGTCCACGACAGCGTCCCCGCGCTCGTGGAGCACCTCGCGAGCGGGTGCCACGGCGACGCCGTCGCGTCCGCGCCGTCGACGCTGCCGTTCCTGGCGCTCCTCCCCGTCGACGCGCTCACGTCGCTTCCGCCGCCGCCGCCGCCGTCCGGAACTTCGCCTTCCGAGACGCCTTCCGGAACTTCCGGAACTTCGCCTTCCGGAAGTTCCGAGACGAGCCCCGCGGCGTCGATCGTCGCCGCGACGTGGGAGGGATGGCGGACGTGCTGCACGCCGTCGCGCTCGAACGACGCCGCGGCGCTGCTGCGCGCGCACGCCGAGGCGACGCTCTACTGCGTCCTCGTCGCCGCGAAAAAAGCCTCCGACCCGCGTCGGTTCAGAGAGGTCGTCCTCGACGCGTCGATCGCGACGCGGTGGGCACCGGAGGCGCTGCGCGCGGACCCGGCGTCGCGCTCGGACGTGCGGACGACGCTGTGCGACGCGCTCGCGACGCTGAGCGCGAGGGCTGAGCTGACGCGCGCGACGGACGCGTGTTGGGACGCCGTCGCGCGCGCGTCCGTCGAGTTGATGCGCGGCGGCGAGTGCGGCGGCGGCGTCGTGAAGATCGACGCCGCGGGCGCCGCGCGATGCCGCGCGTTCCACGCGGAGCTCCTCGCCGCGGCGGAGAGGAAGAGGCCCGGCGGCGACGCGACGTGGGTGAACGACCGGTACGCGACGCCGATCGCGCGCGTCGCGTACGAGCGCGCGTCGCGTGCGAACGCGAACGCCGCGAGCGCGCGTCTTTCCGCGGCGGCGGCGTCGACGCTGGCCGCGCTCGTGACCGCGCACGGCGTGACGTGCCTCGGCGACGGCGCGTCCGCGTCCGAGATCGCGACGCGGTGCTTGGCGGCGAGCGACGACGACGACGACGACGGCGGCGGCGGCGGCGGCGGTGATCGCGATTTCAGAGCGCGCGCGGCGTTGCTCGCCGCGGCGGCGCACGCGGCGGCCGCGGAGGACCCGGCGTCGTGGGACGCCGTCCTCGACGCGTTGTCGAGCGCCGAGAACGTTCGCGGCGCGCGCGTTCTCGCCGCCGCGACGCTCCGCGCGCTCGCCGAGGTCGACGACGCCGAACGATGGCGTCGCCCCGCGCTGGACGCGCTCGTCGCGCGCGCGACGTCGCGGGGCGGCGACGACGCGACGGTGACCGAGCTCGTCGTCGCGGCGCGCGGGTTTACCTCCGCCGCCGCGGCGACGACGTTGATGCGCGACGCGACCGCGGCGTTGCGTTTGCGTTCGAGCGAGAAGGGAGGATGGGCGGCGAGAGCGGCGGAGCACTGGGCGTGGCCGCCGCCGGCTGACGCGGACGCGGAGGCGCCGTGGATCGAGATGACGACGGCGACGTTCGCGTCTCACCTTTTCGCCGTGGAAGCCGCCGCCGTCGCGGAAGCCGCCGACGAAGGCGACTTCGCCGACGCGTCTTCGTCGTCGGAAGAAGAAGATGATGATGAAGAAGAAGACGACGCCGACGACGCGTACGCGAGCGACGACGACGCGCGCCGCGCGCTCGCCAACGCGCGAAGACGATCGAGCGAGCGCGGCGTCGTCGAGACGTCGTGGACCAGGATCGAACGCGCGGCGGCGGCGGTGAGACTGCTTCCCATACGACCCCGTTCGCGTGGTGCACGCCGTTCCTTAAGGACTTTTCCCGTCGTCACTCTTCACCCGCGCTTCCCTTTCAACGTTTGACCGGTAAAACGTTCGACTGACCGATCGCTTCACACACGCAGGCGCCCGCGTCCGGCGACCGCGCGGTCGCGCTCGAGCGCGCGTTGCGCGACGCGATCGCGCGCGTCGCCGCGGAGAGAGCGATGTCGGCGACGACGACGGCGACGACGACGCCGAAGGCGCGCCGCGCGTTCGCGGAGGCGGCGACGACCGCGGCGTTCGCGCTGGGCGCGGACGCCGCGGAAGCCGCCGCAGCGCTCGCGCTCGCCGCGCCGGCGGGCGCGGAGACGGATCATCTCGCGGCGTACCTCGCCGGCGTCGCGGACGTCGTCGGGTGGTCGACCGTTCTCGGCGCGTGCGGCGAGCGCGAGCGATCGAGCGGCGCCGCGGAGGGCTCCACGCTGGCGTCTCTGATGATGCTGATCGGTGGATGCGCGTCCGACGCGGCGCCGTCTGATTGGTCGTCGGACGCCGCCGCCGTCGTCGCGTCGCTGGAGACGCACTTCGCGACGACGCGTGGCGACGGCGACGGCGACGACGAGCCGCCGCCGCTGCGACGCGAGCTGTTCCCCGCGCTCGCGATCCTCGTGCGACGCGCGCTGGCGGAGGGTGGGGATGCGACCGGGAACGCCGCCGCTGCGTTGCGGGCGGTAACGCGGACGTTGCGGGCGTTACGTCGAAGACGACGCGGCTGGATCGGCTCAGACGACGAGGCGTTCTTCTTCACTGAAGCCGTCGCGCCGTTCGCGCCGCCGACCGACCGACCGCCGACCGACGACGCGTCGCCGTCCCTGACGTCCCTCGCGACGATCGCGACGGTATCGATGCCGCCTCTCAAGGCGGGCGACGCGGCGGCGGCGGCGTTCGCGTCCGCGTGCGTCGCGCGCGCGGCGGAGGGCATCTCCCGCAGAGGCGGCGCGCTCGACGGCGGCGCGCTTCTGCTCGCCGCCGCGTGCTTCGACCGGTCGTCGCTCGGGCACGACGCCGACGCGTCGGCGCATGATTCGTCGATGGCATCGAGTGAAGGCGATGCCGTGGCGTCCATCGAGGAGGAGACCGCCGCGATGCGCGCGCCCGTGGTTTTGGAAAAGGGCGCGTGCCCGGAACTCCTCGCGGCGTTCAGAGCGCTGAGCGTGCGGGAGGAAAAGGAACTCGCGGCAGCGGCGGCGGCGAGACGGTTCGGGGGAGAAGACGAAACGTCAACCGTCGCGGCGGCGCCTCGATCTCGATCTTCGCGCGACGACGACGACGACGACCTCCTCGAACGCGGCGTCTGCGCGCTCACGACCGCGACCGTGGAGCGATGCGCCGCGGACCTCGACGCGCGCGATTGGGGCCGCGTGATCGGTCGCATGGAATCGTGGCCGCGGGCGAGAGTCGACGCCGCGGAGGTCGACGCCGAAGCCGCCGCGACGCTCGCCGCCGCCGCGGACGACGCGGACGACGCCGGCGCGGACGCCGCGGACGCCGTAACGCGCGCGATGGAAGGGTTAGAATTAGGATCAGACGCGTCAAAGGCCGTTAAAGGGTGGACGACGGCGGCGGCGACGGCGCGGCTGCTTCTCCGAGTGGACGCGCTTCCGATCGAAGTCGCGGCGCCGGAGACCGCCGACGCCACCGGCGACGTCGTCGCGTACAGCGCGAAAGGTCCGGACGCGGCGCGCGTCGCCACCGCGCTCGCGCGCGCGGGATGGCCGCGCGCGAGGAGCGACGTGCACGCAGCGTTCGCGAGGCTCGCGCTCGCCGTCGGCGCCCAGGCGCGTTCTATCTTCTCACACCGGTCCCCGTACGACCCCGTCGGCGTGGTGAACGCCGATCCTTAAGGACTTTCTCTCCCGGCACATCTCTCCGCCTACCACCCCTCGCTCACAATCCCGACACACCTCGACGCCTTTCAATTCCTTCAACTGACGCCTTTCAACTCCACCCCGATATCATCGCTCGTACGGACCCTCGACCCTCAGCTGCGCGCCGCGGGGAAACTCGAAGAGTGCGCGTCCGCGTCCGCCGCCGCCGCCGTCGCGGCGATTTCCCCGTTGTCGCGCGACGCGTGGTGGCGCGCGAGAGCGAGCGAGGCGCCGCTCTGGCGGTGCCTCGCCGCGCTGTGGTCGCGGCCGTCCGGCGCGAGCGCGGTCGAGCGCACGACGGCGTTTACGGATTTCGAGCTGTGGGAAGACGCCGGGTGCGCCGCGGTGCCGGCGTTGTACGCGCTGCTGCTCGACGACGGTTCGTCTTCTCTCTCTCGTGACGGTTCGTCTTCTTATCGTTCGACCGTCGCCACGTCGCTCACGCGCGCGGCGTACGCGCTTCTGTCCACGCCGACGCTCATGAAGCCCGCGGTCGTCGGTCTCGACGCGAAGATATCCGAGGTTGACCTCGTCGAGGAGGCGGCGACGAAGCTCGGCGCCGATGAAGACGGAACCACCGATGAAACCACCGATGAGACCGCCGGGGGTGGCGGCGCGTCGAAGGACCCGGTCGCGGTCGCCGCCGACGCCGCGGAGCGCGCGGCGATGCGCGATCAGCTCGCGGAGGCGCTGGCGCCGATCGCCGCCGCCGCCGCCGTCGGTAAGTCGCCGCGCGGCGGCGCGCCGCCGCCGCCGCCTCATCCGCCGCCGCCGTCCGAGGGGACGCTCCTGTGCTGGGGCATACTGCTTCGCTACTGCGTGTCGCTGCCGCCCGGGTCGCCCGCGCGCGAGCGGCTGCTCGATTACGCGAGGGCGACGAAAGCGGTCCCGAGGCTCATGGCGGCGGTGATGCCGATGCTGCCGTTGCGCGGCAAAGTCCTTAAGGATCGGCGTTCACCACGCGAACGGGGTCGTATGGGAACCAGTGCGACGGGGGGCGGCGGCTTTCGCGGCGGCGGCGGCGGCGCGCGGGGGCGACGCTCGCCCGGTCTCGCGTCGTCCCACTCGGTCGTCGCGGACGCGAGCGCGCTCCCGGACGCGTGGCGCGAGCTCTCGAATGCCGCCGCGGAGGCGGCCGCCGCGGGCGGCGTCGGCGCGGGCGCCGCCGCCGCCGCCGCCGCGGTGGACCCGCTCGCGCCGGCGTTTCTATCGGACGAAAGACGTCGGACGGAGGACGAAACGTCGACCGCCGCGCCGCCGCGCCGCCGCCGCGCGCGCTCCGCGCGAATTCGCGTCGCGCGCGAGGAGACCGCGCGCCGCTCGAGGCTCGCGGTCGGGCTCTACCACGCCGCCCTGCGCGCGCTCCCCGCGGCCACGCGCACGTGGTTCGGCGACCTTAAGGTGCGTTCTGTACACTGGTTCCCATACGACCGCGTCGGCGTGGTGAACGCCGATCCTTAAGGACTTTTCCCGGCGTGTCTCTCTCCGCCCACCACCCTCGCTTTCAATCCCCGCCCTCGACGCCTTTCAACTCCGCTTCTGACGCCTTTCAACTCCACCCCGATATCATCGCTCGTATGGACCCTCGACCCTAAGGACAAAACCGCGGCGGCGGCGCTTCGCGACGCCACCGCCGCCGCGGTCTCGCCCGCGCTCCTCGCCGCGGAGTTCGACGCCGTGCAACGCATCAGCACCGGCCGTTACGTATCCGCTGCCGGGATACTCGACCCGGATTCGAGCGGCGACGGCGCAGCAGGGGAGCTGTCGATCAAAGCCAGTCTCGGGACGCGAGAGGTCACCGCGACGTACGAGATCGACGACGCCAACCTGACGCTCGTCGTGAAGCTCCCCGTGGCGTATCCGCTCGCGCCCGCGGAGCTCGAGTGCGCGCGGCGTGTCGGCATCAGCGAGGGCCGCCTACGGAAGTGGATGCTGACGATCAGCGCGATATTGCGCGACCAGAACGGCGCGGTCGCGGAGGGGTTGCTGCTGTGGCGGCGCAACGTCGACAAAGAGTTCGCCGGCGTGGAGCCGTGTCCCATCTGTTATCTCGTGATTCACGGCGCGTCGCACCAGACCCCGAGGCTGTGCTGCCGGCAGTGCGGGAACAAGTTTCACAGCGCGTGCTTGTACAAGTGGTTCACGTCGAGCAGCAAGTCGACGTGTCCGCTGTGCCAGACGCCGTGGGGGGCGTCCTACCGCGGGTGATGATGGCGTGCGTTAGACTAAATGCTCATACCCGGAGTCGTTATCATATTAGCCGGACGTCGTCTCTCTTCCTTCTATAATACGTTGAGATGTGTACGACGATACCACCGAAACTACAGGTACATGTATGTACGCCGAAACTACCGACCGTCACGCGAACGCGCCGCCGCCGCCGCCGCCGCCGTCCACGCTCCCCCCCCCGCGCCCCGCGCCCCTCGCGCCCTCCAAACATTGATCGCCCCCCAAACCCTCCCCATGCGCGGCGTCCATCACCTCCCTCACCGCGCTCGCGCGTAACCCCCGCCCCCGTCGCACGAAGAGCAGATCCTGAGGGTCATTCCATACGAGCGAACGTCGGGGTGGAGTTCAAAGGCGTCAGAAGCGGAGTTGAAAGGCGTCGAGGACGGGGATTGAAAGCGGGGGACCCTGGGCGGAGAGACACGCTGGGAGAGAAAGTCCTTAAGGAACGGCGTTCACCTCGCCGACGCGGTCGTATGGGGACCAGTGTGAGATAAAACGCACCTCATCCGTGCCGAACGACCGCCTCGACGTCTCCACGGCGCTCGCGGGGACGACGAGGTCCGCGACCGCGCACGCGGGGTCCCTACACAGGAAGACGTCGTCGGCGGGGTCGTACCCGCACAGGACGACGTAGTGCCCGGTGTAATTTTCGCTCGCATTAGCATCGCTGCTCGTGCTCGCGCCGCCGCCAGCCGCGCCGTCGAAACACTGCGCGTCTCTCGCCTCGTAGCCGGAGCCGCCGCCGCCTAAACGCCCCCCCGCGCCGCCCGCTTCCAGCGCTAACCTCGCGAGCTTCCTCTTGTCCACGAGCGCGATGATCAGGTACTCGCCCGTTCGCGTCTTCGCCTTGAGCTCCTCGAGCGACGCGCTGCGGCGTTCGATCGCCACGCCGCGTTCCGTCGCGGCGTCGAAGAGCGATTCGACGCGTCCGCGATCTTCGCGCAGCGTGTCGCTGTAGAAGGACTCCGACGCGTACGCCGGGTTCGCGCCGATCGTGACCGTGGCGAACGTGACGTCCGCGCCGAAGCGGCGGAGGAGGTGCGCGAGGTCGACGGTCCATATCGACGTCGTGCGGCACAGGCGGCGGAGGACGCGCAGGTCCGTGGCGGCCGCGATGGCGTCGACCGAGGCGAAGTCATCGTCGACATCGTCGTCGTCGTCGTCTGTTCGCACGGTCGCGGTCGCGGTCGTGCTCTCCTCTCCCATCGAGTTGAGCGCCATGGCGACGCACGCGAGGCCGCAGTCCCAGTTGTACGTCTGTCGCGTGTGCGGGACGCGACGCGCGGCGGGGTGCCAGCGCATCTGAGCGCGCGCGCGCGTCTGCGGCGGCTCCGTCGTCGACGCGACGCGCGCGTCCTCGTCGTCGTCGTCGTCGTCGTCGTCGCGCGTCCATCTCGAGGGCCGCGCGTCCATCTCGACGGGAGGCGCGACGCCCGGCTTCCCGGAAGATGACGTCGTCGCGGGGACGACGCCGGCGACGGTCTCGTTCCTCGCGACCATGCGGCGGCGCGCGAGCCGCGAGTGCGGCGGCGTCCGTGCCGTGCCGATGCTCGCTCGAGATATTTTCTGTTGCTGTTGTAACAAAATTTACGATCGCGAATCTGATTGCGCGCGATGAAGTCGACCGAAGCGCGGCGCCTGTCACGCGTGACACACGCTTTCGGCGCCCGCGCTCGCCCGCTTTCAAAAAAAACGTTTTCCGCGCGCGAACATTTCGGAAGCGCCTTTCCGCCTCCTCGCGCGTCGCGCGGTCGCGCCTCGATCACTCCTCGCCCGCCCGCCGCCGCGCACCGCCCGCGACACGATGACCGAAACCGAAGTCGTCACCCGCCGCCGCGCGTTCACGATCAAACGCCGTGCGCCGACGTTCGCGAACATGACGTCCGCGGCGAGCGGCGCGGCGTCCGATCGCGCGCTCGCCGTCGCCGCGCGCGCGCCGATGCCAGTCCTCGGCGATCTCTCAGCAGCCGCGAAGGGAAAGAAGGCGCAGGAGAAGACCAAGCTTTCGTTCGGGGACGTCATGAAGAAAGCGTCGCAGCGCGCGTTCCGCGGCGGCGCCGCGGGCTTCGCCGCCGGCGTCGTGCAGGTGCGACGACCGACGTCACGATCGTCCTCCGCGTCGCGTCGATCCGTTCGTGTTGACGTGGCTTGGCACGTGGGCGTTATTCGCGCTCGAAGATTAATCGTTCGAACGATCCGTCGAAACCATCGTCCGTCGCGTTCGATCCCCATGCGTTCGAACCCTAAACCCTCCTCCTCCTCCGCGCGTCGCGTCGCGTCTTCTCTTCTCTTCTTCTCCCCAGGTCGGCACGTTCATGTGGATGCGCACGACGATGAACTACCAGTACGCAAACGGCGGCACGCTCACCAACGCGCTCCAGACGTTGTACAAAGAAGGCGGGATCCCTCGCTTCTACCGCGGCGTCTCGTTCGCGATCATTCAGAACCCGCTGTCGCGATTCGGCGACACCGCGGCGAACACTGGCATCCTCGTCGCGCTCGGCGAGCTGTGCCCGAACATGCCCATCGCGCAGCAGACCGCGTTCGCGTCCTTGGGCGGCGCCTCGTGGCGCATCGCGCTCACGCCGGTGGACACGTTCAAGGCGCGTCCCATCTCACTCGCACTGGTCCCCGTACGACCGCGTCGGCGCGGTGAACGCCGTTCCTTAAGGACTTTCCTTTCTCTCCCGGCGGTCGCATCTCTCCGCCCAGGGTCCCTCGCTTTCAATCCCGACACACCTCGACGCCTTTCAACTCCGCTTCTGACGCCTTTCAACTCCACCCCGACGTTCGTCGCTTTGTATGGAACGCCTCTCATCAAAGACGACGCTCCAGGTCCAGGGCGCCAACGCGTTGGCGCTGCTGAAGGATAAGGTGAAAGCGGGCGGGATCGGCGTGCTGTACGGCGGCGCCGCCGCCAACTTCGCCGCGAACTGGGTCGGGAACTACCCGTGGTTCGTCACGTTCAACGCGCTTCAGGCGAACATTCCGAAATACGACGGCGTCAAGGGCTTGGCGAGAAACGCCTTCATCGGCATGTGCGCGTCATTCGTCTCGGACTGCGTCTCCAACTCGCTCCGCGTCGTGAAGACGATCAAGCAGACGTCCGGGGACGCGAACCTCTCGTACGTGGGCGCGGTCAAGGGCGTCATCGCGAAGGACGGCGTCGCGGGTCTGTTCGGCCGCGGCCTGAAGACGCGTCTCATCACGAACATCGCGCAGTCGATGGTGTTCTCCGTGTTTTGGAAGGCGCGTTCTCACACTGGTCCCCACACGACCCCGTCGGCGTGGTGAACGCCGTTCCTTAAGGACTTTTGCCGTCGTCTCTCTCCACCCATCCCTTGCGTTCAATCCCCGACCTCGGCGCCTTTCAACTCCAACTGACGCCTTTGAACTCCACCCACAGGCGATCGAAGGGAAGCTGAACGAGATGGCGGCGGAGAAGGAGGCGAAGAAAGCGGGCGCCGGCGCCGGGGGGAAGAAGGGCAAGACCGGGAGCATGACGCTCGCGACGTTGCCCGCGCTGAAGGGCGGCGTGCCCCCGCTCGTCGTCGCGTGAGCGCGAGCGCGAGCGGCGCGTCGAGTCGCCCCCGCCGCCCCCGTCGAGAGTACACTACCTCCCTTCGAAGGCGGGTACTTCCGGACTTCCGTACTGTGATACTTTAATAACGAGGAGGCAGAGTGAGAATGTTTCGTCGATCGTCGTCGCGCGATACACGGCACTTCTACCTACGACTCGCGCCGACCGACGCGCTGCTACTGTCGCTGCTGTTCGTAAACCCGCCCGCTCCCGGTCCCGGTCTCGCCCGCCCCCGCGTCAAAGAATCAGAATCAGAATCTCGCGGATTCGAGTAGAATCTCACGCCGCCGTCGCCGGCAACGGCTGATCGGTGAACACCCACTCGTCCCCGCGCTTGTACACCGCGATGCACTTGCTCCCTACCCTCCACGTCGCGCTCGCGATCGGCGTGTCGTCGTACAGGTACAAGTCCGGGTACGCCTCCTTGATCGCGTTCGTCGCCTCCTCCGCGTGGTAGTGCGGAATCTACGAATGTCAGGGTGGAGTTGAAAGGCGTCAGTCGGAGTTGAAAGGCGTCGAGGGCGGGGATTGAAACCGAGGGGTGGGAGGAGAGAACCGCCGGTAAAAGTCCTTAAGGATCGGCGTCCACCTCGCCTACGCGGTCGTATGAGAACCAGTGTGCGGGGCTCCATAAAACGCACGCACTCACCGTGTGGTTGATGTGGTGCGCGACGTGCGTGGATCCAATCTTGTGATGCAAAAAATCGAACACCGCGCCGTACGGTCGGTCGATCGTCATGAACGCCCCCTTCAGAAGGCTCCAGTCGTCGCCCTCGAAGTGCGGGACGTCCACGTCCGTGTGCTGCAGCCACGTGTACAGAACGAGCCAGAAGTTACACACGAGGTACGGGCCCACGTAGAGCGCGACGACGGGCCAGACGCTTCCGGCGGCGGCGGCGAACGTCGGGGTGGAGTTCAAAGGCGTCAGTTGAAGTTGAAAGGCGTCGCGGGCGGGGATTGAAAGCGAGGATTGGGCGGAGATATGCGCCGTTAAAAGTCCTTAAGGATCGGCGTTCACCACGCGAACGGGGTCGTATGGGGACCAGTGTAAGATAGAACGCACCTTCCGGCGGCGACCGCCCACGCGGCGAGCGCGGCGACGACGGCGACGCAGCCGACGTCGCTCTGCCACACCTTCGCCTTCCACTTCCCCGGGAACAGCGCGAACTTCCCTTGCTCGCCCATGAAGGGCAGGAAGTGGTTCGTCTTCCCTCGCACGGGCCCGCCGCTGGCGCCGGTGAGGAGGTAGATTGGCCACCCCAGGAGGAAGACGCCGACGAGGTTCAACGCGGTGAACGGCCCTGCGTGGTTTCAAACGAGAGCGGCGAAAGGAGAGAATCGGGTCGGTCGGTCAGTCGAACGGAGATGGCGGTGAAGCGGTCCTTACTTCAAGGCACGGCGTGCACGATGACGCGAACGGGAAGATCGTACGGGGATATATGGCGCGATGATGATGGACTAAGTCCTTAAGGATCGGCGTTCACCACGCCGACGCGGTCGTATGGGGACCAGTGTATAGAACGGAATCCATCCTTCGCACCTTCGCCGAGCAACGCGCGGAGCTTAAACACGACGTCCGAGTCCGGGGTGTTGATCCTCGCCGGGACGTGCGTCTCGCCCTCCATGACGTGGTTCGTCCGCGAGTGGTGCACCGCGTGCGAGCGCTGCCACGAGAAGTACGGCACGAGCAGCGCGGAGTGCAGGACGTATCCCACGACGTCTTGCACGAATTTGTTCTCTGAAAACGCGCCGTGGCCGCACTCGTGCGCGACGACCCAGCACCCCGTCGCCGCGGTGCCCGCGACGAACGCGTACGCGATCCACGCGGGAATGAACGCGAGCGTCATCGGGAGGTACGCGTACGCGGCGAGCCCGAGCCCGACCGTGATCGCCGTGGACACCGCGGCGTACAGGAGCGACTTGCCCGTGTCTTTCACGAAGCAGCGCTTCGGTATCTTCGAGAGGACGTCCGCCATGGTCGGGAACTCGGACGGCGGCGGCGCGTTCAGCGCCTTGCCGTTCATGCCGCTGAAGTATCGCTGCTCGGTGGAGGAGGGCTCGTCCGCGGCGATCGTCGCCGCGGTGGAGCCGCCGACCGCGGTCGGGAGCGCGACGGACGACGACGCGCGGCCGCCGCGGCATCCGATGCCACCTCCGGGGGAGACGACGGACGAAGACGTCGACGACGTCGACGACGACGTCGACATCGCGATGGCGCGCGCTGGGCGCGACGCGCGCGCGGCGACGCCGCGCGCGCGGAGCGCGCCGGACGCGAGCGCGAGGCCCGCGGGGCGCGTGAGCGACGACGCGGCCATTTCGTGGGTCGATGCGACGGCGGGCGCGGCCGGGGCAGTGACGCGCGGCGCGCGACGTCACGATGGAAAACGGGGCCGAGTTGGATGAGAAATCTCAGGGAAATCTCTCGATCGTGATTGGTCGAAAAAGAAATCGACCGACCGATGACGACGACGCAGCGGAAAAAAGCCACGACGGTCAGAACCTTCCGCGCGCCGCCACGCCGCGTCTCGCACGACGATCATGCCGAAGAAGGGACAGAAGGGACTTCGCAAGCCGTTCCTCGAGTGGTGCGCGGAGAACGGGAAGCGCGGCGAGAGGCTCGCCAACGAGTTCCGCGAGGAGCTGCCGACCGAGCTGACGTACGGGTCGAAGTACAAGGCGAAGTGGAAGTGTTTGAAGTGCAAGCACGTGTGGCGGGCGGCGGTGAACCACCGCACGAGGAGCGTCAGACCCAGCGGGTGTCCGAAGTGCGCGCATAATGCTCATGTGAGCAAGACGCATAACTTTCTCGCGTGGTACGAGAAGAACGGCGAGCTCGGCAAGAAGCTGTCGCGCGAGTACGTCGACAAGGACAAGCCGCCGACGGCGGTGCCGAAGGCGTCGCACTACAAGGCGAAGTGGAAGTGCAGCAACGTCGAGTGCAAGCACGTGTGGCGGGCGGAGATGTGCGACCGCACGAGGAGCGACAAACCCCGTGGGTGCCCACAGTGCGCGAATCATGCGCCGGCGAGCAAGACGAACAACTTCCTCACGTGGTGCGAGAAGAAAGGCGAGCGCGGGAAGAAGCTGCTGAAGGAATACGTCGACCCGGACAAGCCGCCGACTGCGGTGACCTACGGGTCGAAGTACAAGGCGCTGTGGAAGTGCGCGGAGTGCGACCACGAGTGGCGGGCGACGTTGAACCAACGCACGCACACCCGCTCCGCCAATGCGTGCCCGGCGTGCAAAGCTCGCGAGTCCGCCGGCGACGAACACGCCGCCGGCTGACGAAACCGTACCGAAAACGCGCCGCGAGGGCGGCGAACGAACGAGCCCGACGATCGATACCGAAGTAAGTGAACACGCATCTAACGCGTCTACGCGTATCTAACATCACCGCATCTTACGCAGCAGCTCCTCCGCGACGTCCACGGCCGCGGCAGCCTCCCTCCCACCCCCCCCGCCGCGTTCCAACACCCCCCGCAACCGCGCGCGCACGTCGTACCCCGCCGCCGCCTCCTCTCTCCGCGGATGATGCTCGTACACCACCGCGAGGAGCCTCAAGAACAGCAGCGCGCGCCCCGGGTGCGTCTCCAACAGCCTGCCGCGGAACGCGCCGCCGCTGGACGACCGCGACAGTCCAGACGCCGCCGCCGCGCTCGAGCTCGGCGGCCCCAACGCCTCGACGAGCGGCGCCATCCCCCCACCCTGCGCGACGCCCGCGCACACCCTCGGCGACCGCTTCAGCAACCCCAACAGCGTCGTCAAGAACGCGTCGCACGGGAGCAGTACGTCGCCCGGCCGCGGCTGCAGCGCGGCGGCGATGGACGCGACGGCGTCGGGTTCCATCAGTCGCGCCTCCGCCGCCCACGGCTCGTCGCGTTGCCACGCGGAGACGGCGCGCAACGCTGTAGCTGACCCCGCGCCGCCTTCGCCGGACGCGACGAGCGAGAGGTACGCGTCGAGCGCGCGGTGCTTGGAGAGCTCAAGGCGCGTCTTTCGCGAGGAGTACGCGAACGCGCAGAGCATGGAGGACGCGAGCGCGCGGAGCTTGGCGGCGGAGAGGGGATGTCGACGCCAGTGGTCTCCGTCGCCGTGCAAGCCGTTGACGACGCCCCGCCCGGCGGACGCGGCGGAAGACGAAACGTCAACCGTCGCGTCGCCGTGCGCGATCTCCGGGGTGGCGACCGCGACGAGGTGCGGCACCGCGCCCGCGATCGCCGCCTGCTCCCTTCGCGCGGCGACGCCCGGGTCCTCCGCCGCCGAGGACGCCGCGCCCGCGTCCTCCCCGCCGCCGCCGCCGCCGCCGCCGCCGCACAGGTGAAACAACGCCACCATCGCGGTCTCTCGGTGATCGTCGTCCTCCCACTGAAGAAACCGCGCGAGCTTCGGGATCGCGCCCGCGCGCTGCATCGGCTCGTGCGCATTCCGCTCGCGCGCGAGCCGTCGGACGAGCGCCAGAATCTTCTTCGACGTCGACGCCGGCAGCGGCGCGCCGACGAGCGCGAGAAGCCCGTGCAGCGTCGACGTCTCGCAAAGCGCTTCGATCGCGTCGCGCGCGCCGTGCCCGGGCGACGTCGCGCTCAGGAGGATGTCCGCGACGAGGTCGCGGCACGTCCCGGAGACGGTGGCGGCGACGTGCGGTGGGAGATCGGGGTTCGCGTTTCGACCCGCGAGAGGCGAACTTTTGGTTTTGGTTTTGGAGGCGGCGGCGGCAGAATTCTTTTCCAGCCCGCCAAAACCGCCGCCGCCGCCCGGGCCGACGCCGGCTTCTTCGTTCGACGCCGCGTGCAGCGACGACAGCGCGCGGACGAGCGGGGGGAGGAGCCCGGCGCGGGCGATCGCGACGCGCATGCCCCAGCCCGCGGTGCGGCCCGCGGGGACGTCCTCTATCGCGTCGTCGTCCGTCGTCGTCGTCGTCGCGGCGGCGGCGGCGTCGTCGGGTTTTTTCCGTCGTCCCGAAAAGTCCACCCCCTCGCCGCCACCGCCGCGGCCTCTCTCCTCGTCCTCGTGCGCCCGCATCATCTCCGCGCACGTCTCCACGCACGCGCGCGTCAGCTCGCGGTTCCCCTCGCCGCTGTAAAACCCGGGCGACGACAGCGTCGCCGCGAGCGCCTTGGGCGCGCCGCACGCGGCGAGACACCGCCGAGCGACGGCGCCCCCCGCGGCGACCGACCGCGCCGCCTTGGCGCACGCGACGCGCGACTCGCGCGTCTCGGGGCCCGTCTGCCGCGCCAGCCGCTCCATGATGAGCGGTATCCCGCCGAGCAGCTCGAACGTCGCGAGCGCTTCGCTGCCGCTGCCGCTCCCGCCGCCGCCGCGGTTCGCGCGGTCGATCACCGCCGCCGCCGCCGTCGCCGCCGCCGTCGCCGCCGCCGCCGGCGACGACGCCTCGAGCGCTCCGACGAGCGCGCCCATCACGCCGTTCGCGGCGACGCACGCGTCCACGGAAACGCGCGTCGCGCCTCTCTCCCTCGCCAGCGCGTCCACGAGATCCTGGCACGCGCGCGCGAACCCGCCCGCGAGCGCGTCGGGCGTTCGCGCCCCCTTCCCTTTACCAGCGGTGTCGTCGATGGACCCGGACCCGCTCGCGCGAAGCGTCGCGGCGATTCGCTTCACCGTCGACGCGAGCCTGTCGCCCGCGCGAACCTCCTCCTCCGTCGGCGCGGCCGTCGGCGCTTTCGCCGTCTTCAGACCGTCGGACGCGACGGACGATGACGACGACGACGACGCCGCGAGAGAGGCGGACCGCTCCTCCGGGCGGAGCGCCACCACGACGTCGTCGAGGTTCGCGGCGACGCCGCGGACGATCCGGACGGGCTGCTTTTTGCCGACGTCCTGGAACGGGCTCGAGGGGCTCGGTCGACGCGGCGTCGGTTTCGACGGCGCGTCGCCGCGGTGGTTTTGGTTTTGGTTTTGGTTTTGGTTTTTGGTTTTCCCCCCTCCTCCTCCTCCGCCGCCGCCGCCGCTCATGCCGCTCGTGGACCCGCCGCTGTTCACCCGAGACACGCTCGCGACGACGGTCTCCTCGACGACGACGTCGTCGATCGCGCGACTCGCCGCGTCCGAGGTCGTCCCCGGCGTCGCGACGTCCCTCAGCCACGCGTGCCTCCGGAGCTCCGCGGCGCTCGGCCTTCTCTCCGGCGCCTTTTCGAAACACCGCGACAAAAAATCACGTAACGCGTCGCTGAGGGTCGTTCCATACGAAGCGATGTCGGGGTGGAGTTCATAGGCGTCAGAAACGGAGTTGAAAAGCGTCGAGGTGTGTCGGGATTGAAAGCGAGGGGTGGGCGGAGAGATGCGCCGGGAAAAGTCCTTAAGAAACAGCGTTCACCACGCCAACGCGGTCGTATGGGGACCAGTGTATAGAACGCACCTCACCCCCGGCGGGATGCGCTCGCGCGCGTCCCCGCGCGCGATCGCGAACAGCGCGGGCATGGGCTGCATCTCAAAATACGGCGGCGCGCCTGTCAGGAGCTCGATGACCACGCACGCGACCGACCAGACGTCCGACTTGGGGTCGTCGCCCGGCCCGCGCATCTCGATCACCTCCGGCGCCATCCAATACGTAAGGTCGCATACGTGCATTCATCCAAGCCAGGTGAGTCATCGACATTACTGTATTGTAATGGAACGAACGAATACACAGGGGATGAAAGAGGGGAAACAGGCGGGAGAACTAGATAGGCCCCACCAATACGGCGTCCCGACCGGGGACGCGCCAGGGTCGCCGTCGTCGTCGTCGACCGAGCGAGCGGGGTGGTGAGCGGGGTTCACCGGCGGGTTCGCGGCTCCTCCGTGCACGCGCACGGCGACGCCGAAGTCCGCGATCTTCACGACTCCGTCTTTGGTCGCGAGGACGTTGGCGCCCTTGATGTCTCTGTGCGTGACGCCGTTCGCGTGGAGGTATATCAGCCCGTCGAGCAGCTGCGCGACGTAGCACGCGGCGAGCGGCTCGGGGGTGGGCCCGAAGCGCGACGGTTTGATAACGCCCGCGAGCGAGCCGTTTTCCGCGAGCTCGAGGAGGATGTACAGGTGCTCGGGCGCGCGCACGGTGCCGAGAAATCGCGTCACGTTGCGATGCGACAGCGAACGCAGAAGCGCGCACTCGGACTCGATCGCGTCGACGTCGTAGGCGCTCGTCGCACGCAGTGGGATCTCTTTCACCGCGACGACGCGCCCGTCGCGCTTGTCGATCGCGCGGTACACCTGCCCGTGCGCGCCTTTGCCGATCTCGTCTCCGAGGATGTAATTCCCCACCACGGTCGAGCGGCGCGTGCTCCGCGGGAGCTCCATGGCGGGCGATGCGCCGGGCCGCCGTCCGCGACGCGACGCGGCGCGGCGCGCGCGCGCGCCTCCGCCTCCGTCCGCGGTCGCCGCCCGCTGCCGTCGCGGGGATTCGCCGGGGACGTGCCGCCGCGCCGTCGACTCTGACGACGACGACGGGGGCCGCGGCGTCCACTGGTTAACGTCGAGAAACTGGGAATTTCGTCAGCTCTGCGCCTGCCGTTCAAATTAGGTCAAATTGCTTTCGGGCGATCGCTGAGAAAAATGGTTCGGGCCTATCAACTAATCGGCTGGCCCCTTCTATCTGAGCCCGTGCTAATCTTCGTGCGCGTGCGTTACCTTCAAGTTACAGTAGGTTAATCATTCGTTTCGCAGAAACCTGTGGCGCGATGGCGCGCCGCGCCCCCCCCCGCGCGCTCGCGCTCCTCCTCCTCGCCTTTCTCGTCGCGACGTGCTTTGCGAGACGCGTCGACGCGCGCGATCTCAACGTCTCCTCCGCGGCGCCCTCCACGCCGACGGCCTTCCTGCGCGACCTCGACGGCGACTACGAAATCACGCGGGTCACCAGGCGACCACGACACGCGTCGAGCGCGCCGACGCCGGCGCGGTACCCCGCGCGACTCGCGCTCGCGCTCGACGCGTTCGGGACGCGCTACGAGCTCGATCTCAGACGCCACGACGCGCTGTTTCATCGCGACTACCGGACGTGGTCCGTGGGCGCTGACTCGAGCTTCGCGAAAGTGGAGGGCTCTCATCCGAATCGAAACCACTGTCACTACCGCGGCGTCGTCTCCAACGCGGTCGGGGAATCGACCGTCGCGATGTCGCTGTGCAAGGGCGTCACCGCGAAGATCATCACGCAACGGGAGCGCATCTCCCTCGAGCCCGCGAGCGCGCACCTCCCGGGGTACGAGAGCGAGTGGAGGCCGCCGTCCGGAGACGCCGACGGAGACGCCGACGGCGACGCCGAGGACGCCGACGCGTTCCGGCACCCGGACCCGCTCGGGCGCGTCCCGTCTCATCAATCACGCCGGTCCCCGCACGACCGCGTCGGCGTGGTGAACGCCGTTCCTTGAGGACTTTCTCTCCCGGCGCACGCATCTCTCCGCCCAGGGTCCCTCGCTGGTTTCAATTCCCGACCGCGCCGCCTTTCGACTTCAACTGACGCGCCTTTCAACGCCACCCCGACGTCGCGTCGCGCGGACCCTCGACCCTCAGCGGCGACGTTCTGGCGTACAGAGACGCCGTCTTGGAGAGCGCGGGGCGTCGCGACGACGACGACGACGAGATCGACGCCGTGACGCCGCCGCCGCGAGAAGAAGAAGACGAAGAAGACGAAGACGAAGAAGAAGAAGAAGACGACGAAGAAGCTCTCTCCGCGGCGGCTCGCAGAGGCGTCTTCGCGCGACTCGCGCGCGCGGTCGCTCGAAGACCCGCCAGCCGTCTCCGCCCTCGCGGCGGCGGCGGCGGCGGCGCGTCGCGAAAGCTCCTGGGCTCCGGCTCGGGCGACTGCAAGAGCGTCGTCGACCGCGCGTACACGTCCGGTACGATCAAACTCAACCTCGCGGTCGTCAACGACGCCGCGAGGATCGCGCTCATCGGCTCCGTCTCGTCTACCAACGACGACTCCGTCACCGTGGTGAACATGGCGCAGGCGTTGTACGACATCTTGTCCGACATAAAGCCGACCATCGTGCTCACGGGGCAGTACGACTTCTCGACCGACCCGTACTCGTACGACACCAACAACCCGAGTCTGATCGAGTCGTTCAACGCGTGGCAAAGGGCCAACGAGGCGTCGCTGACGACGCACAACGTCGCGCACCTCTTCACCGGATACGACATCGGCGTGCATCAGGGTGCGTTTTATGATTATCTCGTCGTTTTGGTTTCGCCCACCCCCTCTTACACTGGTCCCCATACGACCGCGTTGGCGTGATGAACGCCGTTTCTTAAGGACTTGTCGCTCGTTTCAACGTTCGATCGCGCCGCGCCGCGTCGCCGTCGTTTCGAGCGACCTATGAACGTCGCTGAACGTGCATCGCGTGGAATGATGACTCATCCCCCTCAGGTCAGTCCAGCGTCGCCGGGAGAGCGTACCTGGGCGTCGTGTGCAACTCGGCGTATAACAGTGCCGTCAACGAAGTCAAATCTCCTCCGCACACGTTGAGCTCCATGATCGTCGCGCACGAGATGGGCCACAACTTCGGGTTCGGGCACGACGGCGACGGCGGTAACGGCGAATCGTGCACCGCCAGCGACACGGTCATGGGCCCGAGCGGGTGCACGTACGCCGGCTGCGTGTGGAGCGATTGCAGCAAGGAAACGTACGACTGCTCCGCGTACGGCTCCGGCGACTACGACTACTCTTGCCTCGACGTCACGCTCGGGCTTAACTGGATCACGATCGCCATCACGATCGCCGCCGTGATGGCGTTCATCGGCCTCGCGGTGCTGGCGTTCATCGGCTGGAGGGTGTGGAGGAAGCGGCGGAAGGGCCGGGTGGGGCCGACGGCGGCGCGCGGCGGCGCGCCGAGGAAGCGGAATAAGGTGCGTTCTATACATATAATATTTTTCACCCATCGTCCGGTTTCAACATTTGATCGCGTCCCCTTTCAACTGACCGGTGAACTGTTTTTGTATGGAATGGCCCTCAGTACCTCGCCGCCATCGCGGCGCCGTTCAAGAAGATGAAGGCCAAGTTCGCGGGGTGGCGCGCGAGGCGGGCTAAGAAGAAGAACGCGAAAGTGCGCCCGCGGGGGCCGTAGGTAGACGCGGTGGGCGGAGTACTCGATGCTCGGGATGACCTATATGCGTTTCAACTTATTCTTTTTATTCGCCGCGGCGTACCTTCGACGTATTGCTACGCGTGGTGTTCCTCTAACCCGTCGATGATCAGCGCGTTCAGCGCGAGCTGCTCCTTCCTCACGGAGCTCTCCAAATCCTCGGCCCACCACGACGGCGCGCGCGGGATGGCGTCGCCGTCCGCGTCGTCGCCCCCCGATCTCGACTCGGGCGACTGCGCGCGGAACTTCCCCGGTTCCGCGGATGCGTCGCGGCGGTTCGCGTCCGCCGCCGCCGCCGCCGCGGCGGCGTCGACGCTCTCCTTGTCGCTCTTCACGTTGAACCGCCCGACTTTGACCCCGCCGCCCGGGGTCACGACGGCCTCGGTCTCGGAGGTTTCGCTCGCGCCCGCCCCGGCGATTTGAAGTTTCATCGCGTCGTCCGCCCACGTGACGTCCGTGTCCGAAGGGCGCCGCTGGCGTCCCTTCCCGCCCTTCCCAGCCTCGCCCTCTTCCCCCTCCGCCGCCGCCGCATTTCGCGCCGCGTCCGCCGCGTCCGCGAGGCCTTTGTCCCACGAGGACCCGCGGTGCAGGCTCCGGCCGGGGGACGGCGCGCCGTCGTCGTCGTCGTTTGGCTCTGGCGTTTTCGACCTCGAAGGCGCCCGCCGCCGCGCGCCGCCGCCGCCGCCGCCGCCGCCGCGGCTATCCCCCGGGGATTCGTCGTCGCCGCCGCCGCCGCCGCCGCAGAGGTCGACCGAGCTGCCGCCCGCGGCGGAGCCGGAGGCGTCGTCGCCGTCCGCGAGCACGTTCGCCATGGACGGTCCGTCGCCGACGCGCGTGAGCATCGCCATCAGCATGCCGCGGTGGATGCTTCCGCCGCGAATTTCGTTGGACTGTCCGCCGCCGCTCTTCCTCGTCGATTTTTGCTCCGGCGAGCTCGGGCCCCCGGGGCCCCCGGGGCTCCCGAGGGACCCGGCCTTCGAGCCGGCGGCCGCGCCGCTCGCCGCGTTCTCGTTCGCGGCGGCCGCGGCGCGGCGCGCGCGGCCGCTGCCGCTCTGGCTCCCCTCGCCGGAGGCGTCGTTCCCGTTCGCGTTCCCTCCGTTGACGACGCCGTCGCTGATTCGCTTGCCGCGCGCGCTGAGATCTAGATTCCCGGAGGCGCCTCGGCCAGCCTTCGTGAGGAGCTCCGTGCGCAACGTGCTGCACGACAAGTTAACCGCCTCGTACACCCGCCTGTGCCTCGCGTGGAGCTCCGCGAGCGTGAGCAGCGACGCCATCTCCACGGAGAGGGAGTCGTGCGACGTGAAGTTGAACGACGTCCGGCGATCCGACTCGTCGTCGTCGTCGCCGCCGCCGTCGCTGCGCATCGAAACCTCGCTCGGGTTGCGAGATCCGAACCTCGCGCGGGCGAACCGCTCGCGCGCGTGCTCGCGGTCCGACTCCATCGCGCCCTGGCCGCCGCCGCCCGTCGCGGATTGGCTGAGCCGCGACGGCGGCCGCGACGACGCGTCCCGCGCGCTCCCTTCCCGGTCCGAGAGGTTCAGGGACCCGTCGGTGTCGGTGTTCTCCCGCGACGGCGGCAAGCTCGGGTGACACGTCTTCATGAGGTGCGTTTCGTCCGATGACGTCGACAACAACGAGATCCCGGACTTGTCGGTGTTCTCCCGCGACGGCGGCAAGCCGTGGAGCAGGCTCACGAGCGCCTTCGGCCGAGCCGCGGACGACGACGTGGCGTCTTCTGATTCGTTCACGTCGTTCACGTCATTCTTCTCCACGCCCACGTCGTCGAAGTCGACGACGACGTCCGCGTCCACGTCAGCGTCCACGTCGGCGTCCACGTCGGCGTCCACGTCGGCGTCCTCTTCCTCGTCCGGGAACGCCTGCGCGAACGACTGCGACCGCAGCAGCTCGAGCTGTATCGCCGCCTCCTTCGCGTCCATCTTCCACAGCGTCCGCTCCAACATCCCCGCGGGCACGGGGTCCGTGTCGTCGATCCCGCGCTTGCGAAGCTTCGAGACGAGTCCGTGCACTTGCTTCGGGTCGAGCGCGACGGAGAGGATAAACGCCGCCGCGCGCGCGTAACGCGTCCGCGCCGACTCAATCTCCGCGATGCGCTCGGTGCCCACCAGCCGCGTGTCCGTCGACTTCCGTCGCGCCCTGGACCGCTCCCGGGTGCTCGATCCGCCTCCTCGGGTGCTCTCGGAGAGCCACGGGTGCTTCGCGAGCGCGGTGGACGCCGTCGGCCGCAGCGCGTCGTTCGGCGCGAGTAAAGACGCGATGAGGCGCGTGAATCGCGCGGGCGTCGACGGCGGCATCCGCGGCAGCGTCCCCCGCTGCATCTCTTCGTGCACCGCCGTCTCCTTGTCCGGCGGCGGCAGCCCGGTGAGTAACACCATGAGCAGCACGCCGACGGACCACACGTCGGACTTGGCGCCGTACGCGTCGCCGCGGCACATCTCCGGCGCGGCGAACAGTTTCGCGCCCTTCAGTCCCTCGGGGAAATCGCGAAGCGTGTCCTTTCGCTCTCCGCGCGCGAACGCGGCGCTGCCAAAGTCCACGAGGACCACCCTCGGCGGCTCTGACTTCTTCCACTCGCGGTTCAGCATGACGTTGTCCGGGACGACGTGGCGATGAACGACGCCGACGGTGTGCATGAACGACACCGCGCCGAGGAGCTGCACCGCGAGCGCTTCCCAGTCCGCGACGGTGAACCGCCCGCGCTCGGAGATGGCGTCGAGAACTTTCCCGCCCTGGTAGTAATCCAGGGTCGAAAGGCGTCAGTCGATGGAGTCGAAAGGCGTCGGGGGTGGAGTTGAAAGGCGTCGAGACGTGTCGGGATTGAAACCGAGGGGTAGTGGGCGGAGAGATGCGCCGGCAAAAGTCCTTAAGGATCGGCGTTCACCACGCCAACGCGGTCGTATGGGGACTAGTACGAATGCGAACACGCCTGGTAGTAATCCAACACCAGGTGGACAATCTTGCTCCCGCGCGCCTTCTCCTTGTACGCGTGGTACAGCGTCGGCAGGCACGGGTGCCGGCCGCTCACCGCGAGCATAGTCTCGATCTCGTGCAGCGCGTTGTCGCGGCTCTTCCCGTCGTACGCGATGGATTTGACCGCGCGCGTCGTCGACGCGACGCCGCCGTCGCCGCGTCCGAGCCGCAGCGTCGCGATCCGCACGGACCCGAACGCGCCTCGCCCTAACAGCTTCCCGACGACGTAGTCGTCGTGCAGCGTCGAGGATTCGATCACGGGAGAGCGCTTGCGGCACGTCAACGCGCGAAACAGTCGCGAGAAAACACCGCCCCCCGCGCCGCCGCCGCCGCCCGACGACGACGTGTCTTCACTCGGCGTCGCGGCGTCGACGCCGCTCGCGGCCCCCCTCGCGGCGGCGCCTCTATGACCCCACGGCGTCGGCGTCGTCCCGCCCTCGTCGAGCACTAACATGCCTCGCCGCACCGTGATGTCGTCCTGGAGGTAGTCAAACTTTTCCGGGACGATCGGCGGGTTGGCGCGTTCTCCCGCGCCGGAGTCCGCTCTCTCGAGACGCTCCGCGACGGCGTCCATATCGCATCCTCGCCCCGGCCGCGCCGCGCTCCCGCTCCCCAACCCGACGCTCCCGCCCTTGAGCGACGGGTTCGGGGACTGGTCGATCGGGTCCAACGTCGGGGAGAAGTCGAGCGACCGCCGGACCGTTGGCGACAAGGGCGGATCGTGCGGGCCGCGATGCGTCTCGCCGCCCGCGACGCGTCGATGCGCGTCGTGCGGCGCCGGCCCCGACAGCCCCAAACCCGGCCCCGAGCCCCCCGACCCTCCCGGTCCCGGGATCCCGATCACCCCGAACGCCGTATTCCTGCCCCTCCCCGACACCCCCGGGGACTCCGACGGCGACGGCTGCACCTTGCTCGCGGCGCGCAACATCTCCTTCGGCGGCGGCGCGTCCACGACGACGACGGTGATGTCGTCGTGCAACCCGCGCTCTTCGACGACGGTCCGCATGAGCGCGTCCGCGGCGTCGTCCGCCGAGTCCGCGCCGGCGGCGATCGCGGCGACGTCGCCGTCGCTCATCGCGTTCCACAGCCCGTCCGTCGCGACGACGAGACGGCCGCCGTGGGGCGGGAGCGAGACCCGCGTGCACTCGGGCTGACGATCGTACGAGCGATGATATCGGGGTGGAGTTGAAAGGCGTCAGTTGGAGTTGAAAGGCGTCGCGGTCGGGGATTGAAAGCGAGGGGTGGGCGGAGAAACACGCCGGGAAAAGTCCTTAAGGATCGGCGTTCACCACGCCGACGCGGTCGTATGGGGACCAGTGTATAGAACGCACCTCGCAGATCACCGCGGGGGAGTCGAAGTCGCCGACGGCGCGGGAGGTGGCGAGACCGCCGGGGTAGACGCGCATCGGGCCCTCTTCCTCGCCGCCGAGACGCGTCACCTCGCGGCCGTCGCGCGCGCGGTCCAACCGCGCGCCCGCGTCCGTGAGGCGCTTCGCCTCGAGCGGGTCGTCGGGGTTGTGCTCGCGCGTGAGGCGTTTGAACACGACTTTGTTCGTCGGCGGCGTCAGCGGCGCCTGCGTGGGTGAAGCGATCGGTCAGTCGAACGTCTTATGTACCGGTCAAACGTTGAAAGGGAAGCGCGGGTGAAGAGTGACGACGGGAAAAGTCCTTAAGGAACGGCGTGCACCACGCGAACGGGGTCGCATGGGAAGCAGTCTCACCTCCGCCGCCGCCGCGAAAGACACGCTCGCCGAGCGCGGATGTAACGGCGGCTTCGCGACCGTTACGGCGCCGCTCCCGCCGACGCCTTCCGAGACGTCCGCCGTGATCGTCGCGTCGTCGTCGTCCTTCGCGGCGACGCCGGCGCCCTCGCCCGTGACCAAGACGCCGCCGCCGTCGGTCCCGCCGCCGCCGCCGCCGCCGCCGTCCGATCCCGCCAGTCCGTCCGCCATCGCGCGCAACGACGCAAACCCGCCGGATAAGCGCTTGCCGTCGTTCACGCTCCCGCCGGGTCCCGACGCGTTGATTGGCGGCGGCGGGGTCGCGCGCGAGCCCGATCCCGCGTCCGGGTCGTCGAAGTGGACGAACACGGCGCCGCTGTCGCCGACGTTTGCGGCGACTGAGGGTCGAGGGTCCACGGTACGAAGCGACGAACGTCGAGGTGGAGTTGAAAGGCGTCAGAAGCGGAGTTGAAAGGCGTCGCGGTGTGTCGGGGATTAAAACCAGCGAGGGACCCTGGGCGGAGAGATGCGCCGGGAGAGAAAGTCCTTAAGGATCGGCGTGCACAACGCGAACGCGGTCGTATGGGGACCGGTGTGAGGAGGAGAACGCGCCCAAGTCGACGCGTTCGGCGACGACCGAGTCGCTCCGCCGCGCGTGATGCCCTTTGTACCCTGGGATCACGCCGCCGCGGCGGCGCTGCAGGAAGACGACGCACGCGGTCGTGCCGCCGTGCGCGTTCCTCGCGAGATTTTTCTGCGTCGTCTGCGCGCCGCCGACGCCGTCGGAGGTCAACCCGGACGGATTCGTCGTCGTCGTCTTCTTCTTCGCGTTTTTCAAATTCTTCCTCGACGCGCCCCCGCCCTTTCTCGACGCCGCGCCGCCGCCCCCCGACGGAAGGCATCGGCTGAACGGCGACGCCACGGACCTTCGAAAGTCCTCCTCCAGAGCGTGGAACGCGGCGACGCACGACGTCTCGAGAGGGCTCCCCGGCGCGTCCGCGCCGTGCGAGAGCAACGTCGGGAGGATCCGGCGCCGCGCGAACTTGGCGGCTTTCGCGCTCACGTGGCCGTCGAACACCGCGAAGCACCCTGATGAAGGAGGGTTTAGCGACGGAGGGCGGGAGGGAGGGAGGGCGGCGGGGTTTAGGGTTGAAATGTTCGCGTGTTTAGGGTTCGGAGGCGCGACGGAGGAGGCGGCCGGGGACGGCGGCGGGCGCGGAGGAGAGGACGTTCTGTTCGGAGAGGACGCGCGGTTGCACTCACCGAGCAGGTCGCCGCTGAACTCCGCGTCCGCGTCGTCGTCCGCGTCCGTCTCGTCGACGAGCTTCCCCGCGTCGCGTCGGCGCGTCGTGAGCGATTGCACGTCCGGCTCCGCGAAGTAGCGGTCCTCGCCGCGTAAGGACGCGGTCTGTTATTGCGAGGGAGGACGAGGGACGAGGGACGAGCGGAGACTAGTCAGATCCGAGCGAGCGAGCGAGCGAGCGAGATCGCGGCTCGCGATGCCTATGATGCGCCGCGCCGAGGAAAAACGACGCGACGCGGGATGAGGTCGCCGCGCGCGCGCCTGCACGGCGTAGACGCTCTTCCCCTTGCCGCCGCCGCCGCCTTCCGCGGTCCCGCCGAACACCGCGGGCGCGGCGTCGCACCTCGACGGCGACGACATGACGCTCGACCCGCCGCGGCGCTCTGCTCTCGCTCTGCTCTTCTGTCGTCGTTGTTATTCGATTTTTTGGATTTTGGCAGGATTTTGGATTTCACGCGCGCGTTCGCGTCATCCGGTCAACGGTGCGTTTTTCACCCATCGCCCGGTTTCAGCACTTGATCGCGTCCCCTTTCGAGTGACCGATGAACATATTATGTACGGACTGATGTTATCGATGGCCCTCATCACGCAGCAGACCCGGGCGCGCGATCGATATGGGCGCGTCGGACGCCGCGACGGCGGCGTCGTCGGACCCGTCCTCGTGGGAGGCGTGGGTCCTCGAGGCGGAGACGCTGTGGAACACCGTCTCCGTCATGCGCGGCGACGACGGGAAAGGCGGCGCGCCGCCCGCCGCCCTCGACGACGCGTCGACCCGTCGGCATCATCATCGTCGAGAACCCCCGGCGACGCCGCGCTACGACGACGACGACGACGACGACGACGACGACGACGGGTTCACGTTCGCGTCCCCGCACACGGTGTTCCACACCCCGGGGACGACGCGCCCGCCGCGGTCGTCGTCGAGCGCGCCCGCGATCGGCGCGCAGGCGTCGCCGACGCCGTCGCCGTTCGAACGTCGGTGGCCCGCCGCGCGATTGTTCGAGCGGTCAGTCGCGCGGGGGGAAGGGGACGGCGCGGGATCCTCCTCCGTCCCCGTCCCCGTCCCCGTCCCCGTCCCCGTCCCCGGGCCCGTCCCCGGGCCCGTCGCCGTCGCCGCCGCCGCGACGGCGACGACGACGGCCGCGGCGTCGCCCGCGCACGACGCGTACATGGCGTTCATGCGGAGCAGCGTCCGAGCGTTGCGCGGGGACGACGACGACGACGACGACGACGCGGCGGATCGCGATTTGGATTTTGATTTCAACGCGGCGGTCGGGGGCGCGACGCCGTCGACGTCCTCCCGCGCACCGCCGCCGCCGCGGCCCGCCGGATTCGCCGCGCCGTCGCCGATGCCGACGACCCCGAAGACACACGACGACAACGTCGGGATGTTCGCGTCGTGGTGGGCGGACGAACGCGCGCGGGAAAAGACGCTGCGACGATTGATCGTTCGATGGCGCCGCGCCGCGTTCCAACTCGCGACCGCGCGAACAGAACGCGCGCTCCTGTCCGCGCGCCGCGCGAAAAGTCTCGCCGCGCTCGCGGCGAAGCGCGCGATGACAGATCGCGCGACCGCGCGGAGGAAGTGGGACGCGCTGGAGGAAGAGGAGAGAGACGCCGGGCGTTCGCCGCTCGCCGCCGACGCGTTGATTCGATTCGTCCCGAGCGCGGGCGCGGACGCGTTCCACGTGCGGTCGTGGATGCGCGCGCACGCGACCGCGGCGATCACGGCGTGGAGGGCGGAGGCGGGGCGGAGCGCGGGGAAGCGCGCGATGAGGGAGAAGGCGATCGAGCACCGCCGGAGAACGTTGGGGGGGAAAGTTGGCGCGCGATGGCGCGAGTGGGCGCGACGGGAACGCGTCGTCAAAGCGCGCGGCGCGGCGGCCAAAACGACGCGGACGCTGCGCTCGAAGACGTTCGCGCTGACGCGATGGCGCGCGCGGTGCGCGGCGTCGCGCACCGCGAGAGCGGCGGCGACCGCGGCGGTCGAGAGCTGGCGCCGCGCGAGAATCGAACCCGCGTGGACGGCGTGGGCGTCGTTGCATCAGTTTTACTCCGCGAAGAACCGAGACGCCGCGGAACACTGGCTGCGCGTCGCCGCGGGCGCGGCGATCCGCGAGTGGCGACGCAACGCCGTGGACCAGATGCGTTTGCGCTCGTGGCTCGAGTTCACGACGCAGTGGTGGTCGCGACGCGAGAAGATTCGACGGTTCGACGCGTGGCGAAGCCTCGCGGTGTTTCTCACCGAGGCGCGGTCGCTCGCGGAGGACGCCTTCGACGCGCGCGTCGCAAACGCCGCGACCGCGTGCCTGCACGCGTGGCGCGACCGCACCGCGACGCTGAAGCGCGCCAGAGCGCTCGTGCGCGACGCGTGCGAGCGGTGGCGGATCGATCGATCGCGCGACGCGTTTGGAACGTGGCGCGAAGCCGCGGCGCGAGGGGCGGAGGTGTGGCGCGCCGTCGCCGCCGCCGCGGACGCGCGGACGCTCGCCGCCGCGCTCGAGCGGTGGACGATCCACGTGAACGCGGTGTGGGAGACGTACGAGCCGGTGCGGCGGAAGCTGTCGGCGTGGAAGGACGGCGCGATGCTCGGCGTGTTGTTCGATCGGTGGGTCGCCGCGGTTGGACGCGCGAGGGCGCGCGCGATCGTCGCGGCGACGCACGCGACCGCGGCGACGCGTCGACGCGCGTACCGCGAGCTTCGGCTGATCGTCGCGTATCTTCGCGAGCACCGCGCGGGCGCGATCGAGGACGCGAAGCCGTACGCGGTCAGCATACGTCTCAGAATGCACTTCACGCGGATGCGTCGCGGGTGCCGGCGGCGGAGGGAGGACAGAGACGCGCTCAACGAGACGGCGATCGCGATGGACGCGAGGTCGCGACGCGATCGCGCGTTCCAAAGGTGGCGCCTGCACGCCGCGACGCGCGTCCATCGTCGGCTGTTGCGCTTGCGCGCGGAACACCACCGTAAACGGAAGTCGCTCTTCGCGTGGCGCGCGTGGAGCGCGCTCGCCGCGGAGGTCAGGCGCGTTCTATCTCACACTGGTCCCCATACGACCGCGTCGGCGTTGTGCTCGCCGATCCTTAAGGACTTCTTTCTCTCCCGGCGTGGCTCTCCGCCCAGGGTCCCTCGCTGGTTTCAATCCCCGACACACCTCGACGCCTTTCAACTCCGCTTCTGACGCCTTTGAACTCCACCCCGATATCATCGCTCGTACGGACCCTCGACCCTCAGCCGGCGGCGTCGGATCGCGCTTCGCGCGTCCTTCGGCGCCGCGGCGTTGCGGAAAGTCTGCGTCGCGTACGGCGCGTGGAGCGAGCTGACGCGCGAGCTGCGCCCGCTGCGCCGGCGTCTGCGGCGCATCCAAGCGACCGCGGCGAGCGCCGGCGGGCGAGCGCAGTGGCGCGGCGGCGGGCGAAACGCGGCGTCGTACGGAGGAGCGAAAAAACACGACGCGAAAGCCGCGGAGCTCGACGCGCTGACGTACGTCGGCCCCGTCGTTCGCAAGGCGGCGATGAAGAGGGCGAAGCGGCTGTTCGACGGCGTGTATCGCGCCGACGGCGGCGATCGCGTCGCCGCGCGGTTCGGCTGGATGTGGGAGGCGATGATACGCGAACGCGTGAGGGACGACTTCGCGATTCGACGACAGCTGCGGCCGGCGACGCCGATCAAGTCCGTCGACGACGCGGCGGACGACGATTCGTCGTCGTCGGTCGGGTTCGGCGACCACTCGGATCTCGACGAGGAGATGTCGCTGAAGCCCGCGCCGTTCGATTGGCGGACCGGGAGCGTCGAGGAGAAAATCTCGCCGAGCTTGAAGCCGCGGTCGCCGAGCGCGTATCCGACGCGGACGCCGCGTCGGACGCGCGGCGGCGTCCGACGCGACGAATCAGATAGTGACACGTCGGATGATCCGAATCCGAATCCGAATCCGAATACGAACGACGCCGCGGCGGCGGCGCTCGCGGAGGCGGACGCGATCGAGGCGGCGAGGAAGAAGAAGATCCGCGACGCCGCCGTTGCGTCGGCGACGGCGCGGCTCGGGACGCTTCTGAACCCGCAGGGTCCCGCTCCCGCGGCGTTCACGTTTCGCACGCCGCCGAGCGAGGCGGCGACGTCGCCGCCGTCGGACGCGTCGCCGCCGTTCCCGTTCATCGGATTCACCCCCGCCGCCGGCGCCGCGAGCGCGAGCGCGAGCGCGAGCGGCTCGCGCGGCGGCGGCGGCGGAAGCGCTGACTCGCGTCGAGGCCGCGTCGACGCTCGGTGGGAGAGGGACGCGTCGACGGGAGGGTACCGGACGTCGACGGGGCGCAGGGCGCCGCCCGGAGGCGGGCCGGACCCGGTGCTGGAGCTCCTTCGCGCGCAAGCGAGCGGGCTGAGGGAGCGGACGAGAGTCGCGGAGGAGATCGCGGTGAGGGTTCGGTGGTCGTAGTCGTAGAGGCGCGCGGTTCTTTTGAGAGAAGAACTGAGAACAGCTCTGATGATTGTATCTGGCGCTCGATTCGAAATTCCGCCAGCGGAACTACTGCGTTCCCCGCCAGATCCCCGCGCCGTCGTCGTCGTCATTGCGAGCCGCGCGGCGTCCTCGCGCATCGATCGCGTCCCGCTCCCGCACGCGGTTCCTTTTGATCGCGAGCGCGCGGCGGCGACGAGGGAAGGACCGGCATCGCGCGGACGAGGACCGCCGTCCGTCGCGACGAGCCGCGGGACGACGCGGCGTCGTCGGATACGGCGCGATGGGGCACTCGAGCGCGCTGAAAGCGCTCCTGACGCCGCTCACCACGGACGCGTGGGTGCAGTGCGACTCGTGCACGCTGTGGCGACGCGTCCCGAAGCACGTCTCCGAGCGTTTAGGCGACGACGAGCAGTGGTGCGCGTCCTCTCCCTCCGTCGTTCGCGTCGTCGTCGTCGTCGTCGTCGTCGTCGTCGTCGTCGAGAACGCGATCGATCGCGCGCGAAAAAAACGGATACTTGCGCTCTCGGATCGACCGAGCGCGCGCCGCGGTTCCGATTCGCGCGGTCGCCCGCGCGACGATCTCGCGTCGCCGCCCTCGATACGATTCGATCGCGCGCGCGTCCTCGTCCGGACCGATCGTCCTCGCGTCTGTCTCGGAAGAAGCCCCCCTCATTCGCGCGTCGCCTCCGCGGGGTCGATGAAGATCGAAATATCGATCGCGTCTCATCAAATATCTCATCGTCGTACTTCGCGTCTGACCGCCGCCCGCCGACCCGACGCCGACGCAGGTTCTGCAACCTGAACAACGACCCGGACTTCGACACCTGCGAGGCCCCGCAGGAGATCGACAACGACGAGATCGACGTCCTCCTGAACGCGCAGGAGGCGGCGGAGGAGAAGCGCGCCGCCGAGGCGGCGGTTGGACGCGACGTCGTCTGCGAACCCGTCGCCGCCGCGAACATCGCGGTGAGACTGCCTCCCATACGACCCCGTTCGCGTGGTGCACGCGATTCCTTAAGGACGGACTTTTCCCGTCGTCACTCTTCACCCGCGCTTCCCTCACAACGTACGTTTGACCGGTAAGACGTTCAACTGACCGATCGCTTCACCCGCGCAGGCGACGAGCGGGGGGCCCAACGCCAACGTGTGGCATCGCATCCACAGAAACGTCTTCACGCACCGCGAACCGAAGTGTGTGACCGAGGACGACGTCCTGATATGCACGTGCGAGGTGAACCCGGAGACGGGGCTGGGGTGCGGCCCGGAGTGCATCAACAGGGACGTACTCGTCGAGTGCGACCCCGCGTTTTGCCCGTGCGGCGCCGCGTGCCAAAACCAAAAGTTTTCGCGGAAGCAGGCGCGTTCTATACACTGGTCCCCATACGACCGCGTTCGCGTGGTGAACGCCATTCCTTAAGGACTTTTCCCGGCGTACCTCTCCGCCCACCCCTCGGTTTCAATCCCCGACCGCGACGCCTTTCAACTCCACCTGACGCCTTTCAACTCCACCCCGACAATCGCTCGTATGGAATGGCCCTCAGTACGCCAAGTTGGACGTGAAGCGCACCGGACGGAAAGGCCACGGCCTGTTCACGCGCCAGGCGCTGACGAAAGGGCAGTTCGTGATCGAGTACATCGGCGAGGTGTTGCACGAGGACGAGTACAGGGCGCGGAAGCAGCGGTACGACGAGGAGCGTCGTCGACACTTTTACTTCATGACGTTGTCGTCCTCTGAGACGATCGACGCGGCGGAGCGAGGCAACGCCGGTCGCTTCCTGAACCACTCGTGCGAGCCCAACTGCGAGACGCAGAAGTGGATGGTCAACGGCGAGCTGTGCATCGGCATCTACGCGCTCTCGGACGTCGCGGCGGGGGAGGAGCTGACGTTTGATTACAATTTTGAACGGTACGGCGACGAGGCGATTAAGTGTTACTGCGGCGCGAAACGCTGCGGCGGGTGGATCGGCGCCGCGAAGCTGGACGACGACGGGTCGGCCGCCAACGACGCGAACGACCTGGACGGGTACGATCTCGACCCGGAGCCGGTCATGCTGGAGGCGGACGAGAAGGCGATCGAGCGCGAGGAGTTGGAAGGGAGGGAGGCGCGGCACCGCGCGAGGATCGCGAATCGAAGAGGGAGCTCGGACGACGTCCGCGGGGGGTACAAGCCCAGGAAGGAGAAGGACGTGTACGGGAACGACGACGACGATTACGACCACGAGGAGGATATGTCCGCGAAGAAGAAGGAGCAGCGCGAGCGCGAGCGGTCGGGCGGCGGCGGCGGCGGCGGGAGATCCCGAGGAGGAGGAGGAGGAGGAGGAGGAGGAGGAGGCGGCGGGAGATCCCGCGGAGGCCTCTCCAGCGGTTCCAAGAAGGGCAGCTTCTCCGGCGGCAGCATGCGCAGAGCCGGCAGTAGCGGCGTGTTCCAGCCGTCGTACTACGGCGCCCCGTCCACGGCGAAGCGTCGCACGGAGGTGGACGTCAAGATGGAGTCCCTCCGCGGCTCTTCCGGCGCGCTTCGAAACGCGAAAGCCGCCGTCGCGTGCATCAGGCTGTTTAACCTCGCTTATCCGGTGGACGCGAAGGGTGTGATTTACATCGCGCAGCGGGACTTGGGCCTCATCCTCGAAGCCGTCGCGCTGACGGTGAACCCGCAGACGCAGATAACGCTCATCGAGAAGGGGTTACTCACGGCGTTTCACACCGCGATTCACAAGCTCGGCGGCGCGGGTGCGAAGCAGGACTACGTTCCGGTGCTCCGAAAGATTCTCAAGATCATCAACGGCATCGCCGCGAACTCGCCGTCGCTCGTGATACAAAAGCTCTCGGACACGCGGACCGCGCGAGGGACACTCGCGCACGCGATCTGCGACCTGACCGGCTCGAGCGACCACGGCCTGCGCGGGCTCGCGTCCGACATCGCGAGCAAGCTCCCGGCGTCGGCGCGCCCGGACGGCGGCGGAGGAGGAGGAGGAGGAGGAGGAGGAGGAGGACTCGGCCCCGGCCCCGGCCCCGGCCCCGGCCAACCGCCGCTCCCCGGAGGCGGACGCCCGCCGCTCGCGTCCCCGGCCGGAAGCATCGCGCTGGACGATCGCTACGGCACCCCCGGGTCGATGTCGCGCGGGAGGAACGGCTCGGGCTCGAGTGTTAATCCGTACGGCACCCCCGGCGGCGGCGGCGGGTTCGTCACGCCCGGCGGCGTCTTACCCGGCTACGGCGGCGACCGCGGCGGCAGAGGCGACACGCCCGGATCCGGCCAACGCCCGGGGAGCTTCCAGGACCGCATGAACGACGCGGGCGGACCTCTCGGTTCCGGGTCTCGGGGCGGCGGCGGCCCGCCGCCGCGTCCCGGGGATTGGTCGTGCCCGCGCGGGTGCGGGAACGTGTTCGCGTCCAAGTCGCGGTGTTTCCGTTGCGGCGAACCGAAACCGCGCGGCGCGGGGATGGTGGGTAACGGACCGTCATCAGGCGTTTTTTCTGGTGGAGGAAGCGTCACCGGGTACGGCGCCGCCGCCTCCCGCGCGGGGGGGAGCTCCGGCGCGTACGGATCGGTCTCGAACGCCGCGTCGGCGCTGAGCGGCGTGAGCGGATACGCGACGCAGGGGGCGCCGCCCGGGAGCGTTGGAAGAAAGCGCGGGGGGTGGGACGACCGCGCTCACGACGGCGACGTGAAGCGCTCGCGGTTCGACGACCCCCCGGGCGGCGGCGGCGGTATGAGTAACGGACCGCCCTCGGGCGTTTCCGGCGGCGGCAGCGGGTGGCGCGGCGTCGTCAAATCCGACCCGCCGCCGCGCGGCTCGTCGCAGTTCGCGCCGCCCGCCGCGCCGCCCGACCCGAACGGCATCCCCGCGCCGCCGCCAGGGATGGGCGTCGTGAGCCAGCGCTCGGCGGC